CTCCTCGCAGTTCGCCACGGCGGATGGAAGCGGTTTTCATGAACGTAATCCAAACTGCAGGCGACAGGATAATAAAAGCCAACATATTCTGCCGGCAGATGTATATATTTTAAGTTAATTATGCGTTAATAAACTGTTTAAGAGAAGTGATCAGAGCGGTCTGTGTCATCAGCGCTGTGTCTCTCTCCCAGCCAGCTCCCAAATCATTTTCTGTGATTGGATGATGCGGCGCGTTGAGCAGCAAAAATTCAATTTTTCCATCTCGAGCAGCAGCGCGTTTGCGGCGCGTCACGCACGTCAGATGCTTAAACGCGCCCGACGCGCTGCTTCAGCTGCTTAGACGCGCTGCGCCTGCTGCTCAAAATGTGCCGCGGGACCTTTTGCTGCGCATCAACCATTGACTTTACATGTAAACTCGCTGCTTCCGTCGCGCCAGCTGCGCATAAATGCAGCATAAATGGAGATGTAAATATTACCTCCAACTGTGATAAAAGATAGAAGGAAAAAAAAAAAGCTGAGTGTTTTTCATTAGTTAAGGGAAGAGCATATAGGTTTAGCATAGATCAGGGGTAACCAATTAAAAATCAGCGGCGTCTGAATAAAGAAAATCATTAACCAGTAAAGGTCCGGAGACATTTTTAATATAATGTTACTTTAATCAGAATTAAACACTGAAATAAAATGAGATTTTTATGCATCCAAGTTATACATTGAATTAAAAAAAAGAAAAAAATTCTATATTAAAATCTAAAGTGTTTTTTTGAAGTAGAGAACACAATCTTTCAGTTTGGTATATAGACAATTTCCTGATTCACATATTTTTTAAAACACCTGTACTGACCTTTTCTTTTTTCTCTTTTTTATGGCCTAATGTTGGCAGTGGGCTTTATGCTGCCCTGCAAGGCTTTAAACCTGGGTTTAAATGGCGACAAAGTCATTCTAAAGCACATATCAAGGTGCTCATTTTTAGCCTGGATTTATATTTATATTTGATTATGTCCATGGTGGAGAATCGTGCTTCACAGCAGCAGGTTGAGCCAAACATACTCTAAATGTACAGGGTCATCTTTGAGCACACCATTTCACTTTTCTTTCACCAGTTCACCTCAGATCTTCCAGTAGTCCACACTTTCTCTGCTCTCTTTTTCTCTTCGTATTCTCCTTTTTCCCATCGCCCAGCTTGCCACAGGTTTGCCTGCTGTGTCTAAAAGTGGCTCTCAGCAGTGACCCAGACTGACACAACTCATTGGCTAATTTGTATCACGTGTAGCCTGGTCCTGATGCTGCAGAAGGCTTTACCATATTAGCAGGAGAAGCGGCACAAGTGAAGTTAGACGCTGCCGTCGGACAACATGTGGTAATTTCTAAATGTTTTTAAATCAGGTGTGGTCTGGATTAGCCAGCAGTTGAGTCCGGATACGGACCGCGGTCTGCTGACCTCTGGCATAGAATAAATAAAAAAACAAAAAACCCTCCTACACAAAAATTCCTGGTGATAACCATGTTATTAAATCAGCATCAAGAGCTTTTAGCCTGTAGGTAAAGTCACTAAGTGAGACAAGTTCAGGTAGTTTAACATTTTTCTGACCCCAGTTCCAGGAGAAAGAAGATAGGTGAACAGCCTTCAGGCCGAAGCAGCATATTGCAGGTGAATTAGTCGACATTTCAGAGTAAAACTAGTGGCCTCCTTTATTATGCCTTATCAGCCGTCCGATATTTTTTGGGCGATATTGTACTTTTTCCTTGAATTATCTCAGACATTTGTTTGCGTATTCATCAGTGCATCCAGCAGCCATGCCTTGAGAGCACATGAAGCGCAGGCATTGCCTCTCCCTCCTTCTGCTAGCTATTTTTAATGTTCTGTTTGACTTGTTAATAAAGGTTCCTTTTGTTTAACTTGAGATGAGGGTGATGTGTATAATCACTGTGGAGAATGAGGAAACTATCAGCCCAAAAATATCTGCAGCATATATCTGGGATCAGGGCCATAACTACCATTGAGGACAGCAAGAGCATGTCCTCTGTATCTTTTTATTTATATTTTGCCTAAATTGTGATAAATAAATTCTAAAAATAAATTACAATGAAACTGTATCTAGGAAATGATCTAGGGCTCCCAAAAAACTGTGAGGTGTTTTATATTTGACGAGCCAAGAGTACCGCGACTATCTAATAAAAAAAGAAGCTGGAGGGTTTGGTCATACCTGCTGTGCAACCTTAACACTGCTGTCACTATGGTAACTGCCACATAGGCTACAGATGCCGTTAGTGAGTCCGTCAGTCATGGCAGTCACTGGATGAGGAGCACATAAAGTTACTACTTTGTGCATACACTGTACCATTTTTTATTTTTATTTTTTGCTTTTTTCGGGCCGACTTTTTAGTCGTGCAAGAATTTTTCGTTCCGGCCAACTTTCAGCTTGGTTGTGCGTCGTGTAGTGCAGCGGCCCCCAACCTTTTTTGCGCCACGGACCGGTTATATGTCAGACAATATTTTCACGGACCGGCCTTTAAAGTGTGGTGGGTGAATAAGATCAAATAAAATGATATGACTGGCATAAAATCAAATACAAACAGCATAAAAATAAAACTCACCATTATGTTGAATTAGTGGGAGCCCTGAGCTTGTTTCTCTGAAACAAGCCGGTCCCATATAGGCGTAATCAGAGACAATGACACACGACGTGTATCCAGTCTGCTCCGTAGCTTTGTTTTGGTCGCTTTAACCGCAGAAAATCCCGCTTCACAAAGATAGGATGTTATAGATGGGATGCTTCTTGACCTGAATTAACCTGTGTCAAGAGGGACAGATGCAAGAATACCCCAATTTTTATATTTTTCAAAATAAAACAACAAAATAAACAACACGGCCTGGTGGTTGGGGACCGCTGGTCAAACATGTTTGAAATACAGTTGGCCGTTGTGGGCAAATCGCTCAGTACACCAACAAGGATTCCTCTTCTCACATGAAAACCCAAATGCGTGGTGGGGGTGCTGTAGTATCCACGTTTGCTCAGCCATGTCTTTGTCCAAATACATTGTCTCCTTTTCTTTTTAGGGCTTTCAGTACACAAAATTGAACAATTTGCCAAAGGCAGCTTGTTTCTCTCTAGGGAGCTGCATATTCCTCTTTTACTCGTTTGGCTTCCGGATGGACGAGTCCGAGTAGCGCCATCTCACTGCAGAGCTGAGTCCTACGTGGTTTTTAGATGTACAGTGTGAGCAGGTAGATCGCATAAGGCCGCACAGGGTGGGAACGTGCATCGTGAGCTGTAAACTCGCACTGTACGATGAAACCGCAGGGTTTTGTCATTCAGGTTGAGCTGTAGCTGCGTGCAGCGATTGGAAAAATAGCAGAGTGTATGCCCAGCTTAATGTAGGTGGAGAGCAGTTTAAGTTGTTGATGACGGCGAGAAAAACCTGCATTTTCATGAGGAAATATTTCAGCCCAGTGAGCTATTCAGACAGCAAGGAAACATCGAACAAAAGTTTATTTAACTGTACCGGTCGTCAGTCAATTTCCAGCAGTTGAATGTACATTCATTATGTGATTGATATGTTGGCGACGTCTTGAAAATAAAACGTTTATTTAGCGTTGATTTCTCATTGTTGGATGTTGAACCGTTTAATATTTCTGCCGGATGCCGGAGATCATTGCAGCAAGATGGTACAGAGCAGATCATGCGGGCCAGGGAATCATGGGCTGAAGCAAAATTAAACATCTGGTTCATTTTCAAAATAATTATAATTTTCTGTGGCAAATTGCCCTTACTTCAAGAGTCACCATAATGATCCCTCAAAAAGCCTCAGAATGCCCTTTAATTTGCCTTTACTCTGGTTATTTTGTAGACTCCTATATTTATTTGTTGCATATAATTGCTTAAATGTGCATATTTTATCTTGTTTAATATTTATACTTCAACTTATTTATAACTTTATTTAATTTTCATACTATGTGTCTGTCATTCTTTCATACTTTCATATTTCAGAGGGCTGCTCTGGAACCCTCAAAACTAATTTCATGTTAATGTGTTGATATGGCTAATAAGAAATTAATATATGATATTCAAATGGCACATTTTTTCATTTCTATCATTTTAGTATTTAACTGTTGATTTTCTTCACTAAAGGGAAAACAGGATAGGGAGGAAAAGAATTAGTGTTACAGATTTCCTCTTGGGTGAGCAGCAAGAGGAACAGTGAGGAGAGAGATGGAGGGAGAGCAGGAAGATGCTGGACCAGAACTGTATTTGCTTTTAAAAGTCAAACATTTCTTGCATGTTACTTGAAGTACTGCGGTAAGATATTAATAGAAATATGCTCAAAAGATGGCTTTTCATGACAAGAGTCAGGAGATTAGGCACCATTATCAACCTAATAGTGTAATAGACATCTGGGTGTCTATTTTAAATAATGACGTAAATATGAAGCAACTTATTTCATTTCCATTGGGAAACATTTTGTAACACTTTTCTAGCCAGTTGTAAACAGAAGCTTCAAAAGAAAGATGACATAAAAATCAAGTTTAGAAGTTTATAAGGCCTGAAATTGCTGGCAGGGAAACAGGAACAGATAAATGTGCCGACTAGTCATAATGATGTTGCTTTTGCTCCTTTCTGCTCTAAATTGTTTCCGTGCACAATGTATTGCATTGCGCACTATTGGCATCAGTCTTAATAAAGTGAAGCCACACTTTTGACCTGGGGGAGGATTTTAATGGGGTTCCACAACGCTCGTGACCAGTTCACAACAGATACACATGAACCCTGGCTGTAGGCGTGACCACCTGTGTATTTTTCCTGGATGACGCAATCACGTTAAATGTTACAGCCAATCACCGAAGCTGATCAATGAAAGACGAGGCATGTTTCGATACTCTGTAGAACCGAAGCATTTCGGTCGGTAACATAAAAGAACCGATGTTCGGTACCCAGTCCTACTCTTGGGTATTTTTCTGTATTTCTTCAGTCTCCCTAATCTCTACCTCCCTCTGCTTTCAGTCCCTGGATGACGACTGTACATTGGAGGAGGAAGATGATGGACTGATTGAGGAGGAAGATGAAATCGACCAGTTTAATGATGACACCTTTGGAGCCGGGGCCATCGGTGGGTCTTCTATGAAAAGTGTTCGATGTTGTTTTCTTCAAAAAACCAGTCACTTTTTTAAACTTTTATGGAATTTTCTTGAGGTTGAACTTTTTGAATCAGAGGTCAACAAATACTTAATTCTTAATCTGAGGAGACAACCTTATTTGGGAGATATAATCTGTGTTTGTAAAGACAGATTTGAGGATGAATGGATCCTGTCTTAACCAGTCACTACAATCTTTCTGCTTCCAGATGACGACTGGCAGGAAGAGCACAAACGCCTGGCGGAGCTCGATGAGCGGGACGGGTTAGGAGTCGGGCCGGGATTAGGAGGAGGAGAGGACGCCTCGTCCTCACTCGGTCTGCCTTCGTCTTCTGTTCAGCTCTCCTCGTCTTCCTCTGGGCTGCCAACACAAGGTTAGAAACATTTATAAACTTAAAATTCCCAGAACCTGGTCTTTAAATTTCTGTTAGTCCAGACTGTTAACAAAAAGTTTCAATTTCAGATGTGGACGAACGATCGGGGGGAAGCGACTTGGCCGAGTCTCTGGCTCGGTTCATTCTGGACGCTGACCCGGCAATCGCTGGGGTCGGGGCAGCAGAGAGGCCCGCTCCCTCTCCCGGCTCTGCGGGGTCGGTTCTGTCTGCCCTGCGAGGACTGGATCAGTCCAGAGTCCTGCAGCAGCCCTCCTCCATGGCTCCAAAGCAACCCCCCCAGCACCAGCTGCTCCCAGGAGGCTCAGGTGAGGGGAGGTCGCCTGTCTTAGTTTGAGTAAAACTACCTGATATTTTATCTGATTTTGAATCTAGATTAACTTTCTGTAAAACTCTTTGGCTTGTCTGTATATATAAGTGTATGGGGTGATTTTTGTTGCATTATTTTTATCAAAGAGTATTTTTTTGTAAATGGGAATCACACAATACAATCTGGAAGTTAAACTTTGAAAATGTTTTAAGCAAAAAATTGGTTATGCAAGTATTTTTTTTCTTTTCAGGTGTTAATACAGACTTTATTTCAATTTAAAGATTAATTTTCTTTCACTTGTGGGGGCGGGCTCCAGATGCAAAATGAAGATTTCTTTTCTATTGGTCTGCTGGTCGTTAGCAACAACATTTTTATTGGTTGAGTTCCGGCGTTTTTATTAGGTTTGAAGTGAAGAGAACGCGATCTGTAAATACAGTGTGAAAATAATACAATTCATATAACTTAATCTGATCACGAGAAGTTTGATTAAAAAAATTTAAAATTTAAAATCTTAAGAAAAGAAAATATAAAAATAAATTTTAATAAAAAATGTGAGAAAATGCTTTTAAAAAGTTTGCTCTTAAAACCTCTTTTTGCATAAAACGCTTTTGAAAGTTTCCTGTCTAGATTGCAATTATTGTTTTTTTTATTTCGATTTACAAAAAAAATCGATGGTGAAAAAAAAATTCACTCCTTTTAAATGAACCTAAAATGATTATAAAGCCTGAATCCACACTTTTATTTTTTTTATTTTTTTTCTGCATTTAAAAGTTGGTAATGAGGCTTAAAGGGACACTATGCAACATTTTTCAGTTAATTAATGTGTTCCATAACGTTATGGATGAATAAATGAGTCATTTCAGGTTGAACAAAGGTATTCTCGGCCGCCCTGGTGGTCTGTGGGGGAAATACTGCACTTGCAATTGCAGGAGCACCGACCCGCACCCACAGGCTCAGAAGTCTCGTGAGAGTCAGTCTTGCTTTACGGCGAGAACTGCTACACGCCCTCAGTTAAAAGCATTCTCGTTGCTAGCACAGTGGCAATCTTTGTGCAGTTATGCTACGTTCACACAGCAAAAGCAGCAAAATCGCGTCTGCTGCTTCGTTTTTTCTGCTTGTACCAGTTAGTTCTGACGCGCGGCTTTGCTGCTCTGGCTGCGTGGTGCAAAAGTGTGTCTGAGGCGCGTTGGGCGGAGCTTCACTATCCTTTCTCTGCCTTGCAGCTATATTTGCTGTGATCAGTGGGAATAAAGTAGTTTTAATATGTGTTTAAGTGAGAAAATACACCTGAAAACGTAATCAGTGCAGTCAGTTCATTCAGATTATTATCCTGCCTTCAATATTTTTTCTGTCGGAGCCGCTCAGACCCCCACATACCAGGGGGGCGCCGACAGTATGGATCCCTTCATCAGCAGCGGTTCACCGGGCAGCTGGTAGGTGTTTTTCATCTAAATAATCCAAACTGCATATTCTGCCGGCAGATTTCTGCATTTTAAGTTAATTTAGGCGTCAATAAACTGTTTAAGAGGAGTGATCATCAGCGCTGTGTCTCTCTCCCTGCGTTAAACGCGCCCGACGCGCTGCTTCAGCTGCTCAGACGCGCTGCGCCTGGTGCTCAAAACGCGCCGCGGGACCTTTTGCTCCGCCTTGACGCGCGTCAACCATTGACTTTGCATGTAAACTCGCTGCTTCTGTCACGCCAGCTACGTCCAGTGTGAACGCAGCGTTAGTCATTCGCTGCTAAGCTCAAAACAACCGCGCCTGGCTTGACGGAGAAACCAGGAGAACAGCTGTGCATATTTACGACAGTGCACTTTTACTTTCGCCCTCTGGAGGGAGCCTCACTGGAAAATCAACACCGGTTGCATAGTGTACCTTTAAAGAGCGGGTTATAGATATTAGAGCAGATCTGCTTTTTTTCTGGGAGCTTTTTAACTGTTTTAACTGTTTCTCCTCTTCAGGCCTTCCTCCCCCCTCCATGCTCAGCTATCAGCAGCAGCAGCACCTGCTGCTCCGAGGTTCCGCTCCAATGAGTCAGGTCTGTTTCTATCCCCCGGTTCCACTTTGTTTCACATTCCAGACATTACTGTGTCTTTCGTTTGGTGATTTCGTCATCAGCCTGGGGACGATAACAGATATTAAACCTGTGGCTAAAAGTGATGCTGAGCTCTCAGACAGCAGCTCTCTGACGTGCTGCAAATGTCTGCAGCTACAGGGTCACTAAAGTTGACCCATATTTTTTTTATTTTTTATAGATGAACTCTCACAACATCTGGGAGAACAGCATGGGCTTTGGACCGCTCAGTGTTACGCCTAAACTGGTACCCGCACATGGAGGTGAGGGAACCCTGCCGCTTCTCCCATTGCTGAACTCTTTAAGCCTCAATCGATCTAAGTTTCCTTCTGTTCGCTACATCTTCTTTCTCCTCAGGAAGGCTCCTTGATGTCAATAATCAAAGAGGCGGGGCTTCCTAAGCGTCCTCCTCAGGGGCGGGCCGATGAAGGGCACGACCTGTCAGAGAGGGCTCCGCCTCCTCGCTCCTCTTCTCCTGTGATTGGCTCTCCGCCGGTGAGGGCGGTGCCTATTGGGACCCCACCCAAGCACCCTATGAGCCTGAACCATCAGGTAGGCTGCAGTGAGGTTGGTGGAGGTTCTCCAGTCTGAGCAGATGTTCCTCTGACTGATCAGCTGTGTGTTTAGATCCACCATCCCACGGCGGTTCATGTGAGAGCCCCGATCCAGCACCGATACCCTGCCCCTTTCCCTGAGCGCCTGTCCCCCAACACGCTCCTCAACATAGCTGTGAGTGCTTCCTGTCGCTGCTGCTGCTGCTTTAGAACGCTGGACACCGACCCAAAGAAAGAATCTCTGGTTCTGATTCGGGAAATTCATGTGCTGTGTTTTCTCTCTGTGTTCAGAACTCTCCGTTGTGTCGCGGCCCGTTCCCTCCCAGAGTCGGCCCGGTTCTGTCTCAGCTCCAGCGAGCGCAGCTGCTTAATTCTCAGGTCAGTATCGGGGGTGAAGAACTGATCACTGCACACAAAAAATTAAATTAGATAAGAACTTTTTTCTTAAAATAAGTGAATTTTTTTCTTGTAATAAGGAAGTGAGACATTTTGCCAATGAAACAAGAGAATTTACATTTCAAATAAGAAAAGACAACGGAATTGTCTTCAAGTGCATATTACCTATTATCTTATTTTAAGAATAAAATTACTAATTCCACTGGCAAATCATCTTATTTCCCTACTCAATTTAAGGGTAAACACACTTAATATAAGAAATATTTACTTATTTCTAGATCATTTTTGCAGTGTGAGACTTTTGGAAGCAGGTGGTTCTTTGCCGGTACCATTGATCACATCCAGAACCGTCCTGATCCATCTTTTCCTTCTTTAAATAGTCAGCAACTTATCTATTAATCAAATCATCATTTAGTTGAGAAAACAAACCGTAATGGATACAATTTACTGGAAGAACAACGCACTTAGAGCAGAAATTAAACCAAAGCTTGACAAAAACACATTTTGCATTTGAAATGATAAAGGATTCTTTATCAGTAAATCTGCTCAGTATTAATTCTTAACTTGGTGTTTCTGAACATTTCTTAATGTCTTAATGTTCAATAATATTTAGACCACATTTAAATGGTTATTTACTAACAGTATCTATTTGTAGCTTAACCACAAAAAAGATTATCACTTCATGTCTTAAATTATCAAAATTGTAATCATTTTATTTACTTACAACCAGGTTAAAAAAACCTTTCCAGGACCCAATGTCCTGTAGAAAATGAAGAGCGGCTTTGGGCGTTAGGCTGTTGCTAGTGCTGAAGTTTATTCTTTAATAATTTTTATGACATTGTGAAAAAATTTGAAAATCTGTAAAAACAAAAGAAAAAATAGTTGAAAATACAAAAAAAATAAAAAAAATTTTTTTTTTTTTTAAACCTCAATCTTCTCCAACTGCTGCCAAAACCAGAAAGTTGTTTTGTCCTTTGGGCTTTGGGAGAAGCTCCTCCTGAAATGATTGTTTTCCAAGCTTAGCGTTTCACGCCGACTGGGCCGCACCGCTGCATCAAGTTAAAACGATGGCGTTCGCCAACTTCGTCACATTCCAAACCCCAAAAAGCAATCAAGGACTTAAAAAATTTCTCTTATGGCTATTTTATTACCTTTCCAGGGCATTGAACTTATATTGTCAAACTTGCAAGGATTTCGAAGACCAGCAGGAATGAAAGAAACAGCGGATTTATGACCAAAACTATGATTCTGTAAATATTTCAGCACATCTTCATGTCGGCCTCTCTCTAGGTGGCAGGCTTTCCTCGCGGTGGCCCCGGTCCTCCTCTGTTAGCTGGTGGAGGTTTCAGGCCTTTCTTTGGGGGGCCCCCTCCGCCTCACGGCCACAGGATGGGTCCCCCGCCGCCTCACGGCCCCCACAACCACACAGCTCCCATCAGGCACAACACGACGCACCTCCACCCACAGCACCGCCGCTTGCTAACGCAGCGCATGCAGAGCAGAGGAGGGTGAGAAGCTTCCTCCGTTAGCTTCAGATGCTTGATGAACGCGCCGCTCAGAGCATCACCTGGTTATTTATGTTCCTACAGTGACCGAGGCAGGACAGGCCTGGACCGGCGCAGCAGAGACCCCTACAGTAACTTGATGAGTCAGAAGGAGAAGGAGTGGGTGACTAAGATCCAGATGATGCAGCTGCAGAGCACCGACCCTTACCTGGACGACTATTACTACCAGGTCAGATTCTTCTCTGTTCTCTCTGCAGATCACCTGATTTAGCTGAATTATTATCCTGTTTTGCATGAACCATAAACACTTAATTATCTCTGATAACTAAACTCAAACTGCATCAAGGTTTCCGTTTGTATTTAATGTAAAAAATGCGTCAAGAATTTGTAATTTTGTTAAAGGATCTATTAGTCCAGTTTCTTATTCGTCCTGGCTTCAACTTTCTTATTAAAGCAATATGTTTTTTTTGACAAAGGGATAAATCCACCGAATATTTAGATTGATGCAGAAAAAAAAATTATAGTAAAAAATATATGGAATAGAAAATGAACAGTTTCAACATGCATACATTTTCTGTTTATGATGCTGATGTCGACATGAGAGGAATCTTTGCTTCTAAAACAGGGTTTCTGCGGGTCATTAAAAAAAATTAAAAGTAATCGAATTAGGGATGCACGATATTGGGATTTTGGCCGATATGCCGATATTTTAAAACTCATGTAGCCGATAACCGATATCGATACTGATGTTAAAGCTGGACAAAAATAAGTAGTCATTGAAAATAGCAGTTTTGTTATCCATTTCTGACACTTTAAAAAATAATATACTCAAATATATTTTCATATGCTGATATCAAATTTCCAAATCTCCTCAAATTTCATCGTTCTGTTACAAACTCTCGTGATATTTTGCAAATTCTTGTGAGATTTTGTTAGTAAAATAGATCGATACCGCGTCAATATATCAACATATAAAAATATGGCAAAATTTCGTGAATTTTCGGGGGATTTCGTAGCATAACGATGACATATAGCAATATTTCATTAGTAAAAGAGATTGATATGGTGTTTTTAAATGGCAATATATCAGCATATGAAGATATTGTGATATTTTAATGTTATAATGTATCAATATTTTTTGTCTTTAGAAGTTTTTAAGTCTGTAAAAAATAAGTTTTTGAGGAAGAAATAGTATTTTTTTTTTTTTTTAGATTTAGAAACTCAGAAGCTGATCAAATATCGGGTTAAATATCGGTGGGGTGGCCGATGTCCGATATTCAGTTTTAAGGCCGATACAGGCCGATACCGATAGGGGGCCGATTATATCGTGCATCCCTAAATTGAACTATTATTTTTTAAATTAAGGCCTTAATTGGCATTAAAATTCATTAAATTTGATAATCGTGTTATTAAAATGCTTCGGAAAAGAAGCATAAGGTGAAGAAAAGGCTAGAGAATGGGGAAAATGGAAATTTAAACCAAAGTGGCGGGAAAACAAGGAACCTGGGACATGGCTGCAGCCTGTCCATGGTGAAGATGGTGAAGGATTTTGCCGTGTTTATATAAGTCATGGGTATTTGTTGATGGCATTAAGATTATTTCTAAGAGCACTAAAAGAGCATTAAATAAGAGTTACACATTCATGTATAAACCCTGTAAAACCTCTGGGTATTAATTCACAAAAAATTCTTCATAAAGTGAAGAAACATTATGGACAACTGTGAGCTTCTTCCTCAGAAGATTGTTAAACAACAAACAGAATGCCTTCAGCAAAAGGCTTCTACAGAGCGGTGCAAGACAGAAGATCCTACACCTACAACAGCTGGTTTGAAAAAAAAAAACATGAGTTACTGTGACATTTAATTTCTTTGAATTACACTTTAAATTGAATTGAACAGGAATAATAGATTAAACTTATAAGATATAATAATTAAAGAACAATAAAACCAACTATATGTTTTATAACACATTCTGCATGTTAAAAGGCTTCAACTGACAATATAATAGTCATGAAGCTTAAAAACAAAACAAACACTTCTCAAGCTATTTTACAAAATAAATTACACTTTGCCGTAGAATTAAATGGGGTTAAAGTTATTCTGGGGAAAAAAACAGCAGGATTGTTTAATCCCAGTATTTCTGTGGGGGGGAAAAAAACTGTAAAAAATGCGAGTGAACAAAAGAAAGTGAGGAGCAACATGTAAGCATCTAGCTTTCATTTTGTTGCTGGTTCCACTACAATTAGACCTAATTTATTTTAGTATTGCCAAATGAAAATATAAACAAAAACCCATGTATTTATGCTGCAGTGAGTGTGTATAAGGAAAAACTGCCATCAGACTTTATCGAGAGCTTTTCTCGATAAATGATGTTATTGAATTAGCGGCGCTACCTCATCTTTTCTCCTCTGTCTGTTTGAGGCTGAACACCCGCCTACATTACAGCAGCTCAGCCAATCTGCATCATGTATCTGTGTTTTATATCTCTGCTCATTTCCGGTGGGAAAAAAATCTCTCCCTGCAACAAAGAGAATGCGCTCACTTATTTAATTAAATAATTGATAAACCCACTCAATAAACTTTATTGATCACACGTTGCAGAGATCCCCTTGGGGAGCAGTGGGCTGCTATCGTGGAGCACCCGGGGAGCAGTGTGGAGTTAAGGGTCTTTGCTCGGAGACCAAGCGTGGCAGCCTGTAGGAGTGGGGCTCGAACTCAGAACCTCAGGATTCCAAGCTCTATAACCCAACCACTAGGCCGCCACTCCCTTTAACATTGATTGAGGCATCGTAACCACTGTTCTCTATTTGTAGCCAGATCTGTCGCCACCGTCCGCCTGATAAACCAGTCTAAATGGGAGATGAAAGCTTTAATTTAGTCTGGCCCTGATGAATGAGACATCGGAAGATTGTTAATGAGAACAACCCTTTTTTTTTTCTTTTTTTTTTTTCTTTCAAACCATGTCTGTGCCTATTGGCCAACGCTCTGACCAATGAGCGCAACTGACTGTGACGTAGGAATCGCGACAGAAAGCTGGTGGGGGAGTGTAAACAAACAACCTGTCGGTAAAACAGAAAATACATCCTTCTTTAAGATGAATGAGCGTAGAGCCTCTTCCTGGTCACGATTCAACGGAAACTCAAAGGCTAATCCTTCCAAAACTGTTTCAAAGCAGAGTCAAAAATCGCCATCAGAGCCAGCGGTCCTTCACACAAGACTATGCTGATAGAGGGCCGCTGCAGACGAGCTGCGGTTAGCCCTGGCTGCGGAAATTGTTTTTTTAATTACTCATTAAATTGATGAATGGACCATATAGTGGCGCTTTAAAGTGTAATATTCTCGCCTCAAATTATCTTAAAACGTACTTTTATTGAACAACAGAAAGAGAACTTTTGATTTCAGTGGAGCGCTCCATTAAAAGCTGCTGCTGCCGCAGTGCATGCTAGTGTTGCGCTTTCTCCAGCAGATTTGTCGTCAAGCCCTCAAAACCCCGCCTGCTTTGCATCCAGACATTCAAAACACATCTCTGCGTTGTGATTGGCTGGCCAGATTTAGGGCCTGGGGCATTGATCGAGGCTAGACCAAGTCGCAGGCAAAATTTATTTTGGCCGCTGGCGGGTGGGGCTAGTTTACTAGGCTACGACTTTTAAGGATGTTTAAAACATTCACCGAAAATAAAAAACTTGGCATAGATTTTAATTTAAAATAGTTTTGCAAACGGACTTATCAAAATAACTAAATTCCACTGTGGATATCTGTGGTTAGAGACAATCAAGATGTTGAACAAAAAAAACGATCCAAACAAGTTGGCCAACTGCTGATGCAAGGTTGCGAAATGTTTGTGATTCAAACTACGCCACGATCAAGCAGAATCTCAAGGCGTCTGGAAATCAAACCTGTTCAGAAGCCTTATGTTTGTTAACATGTTCAATAAAGCATCCATTTTTGAGAAATGTAACAAGACCTGATGTAGGTTGACTCTGATTCAAGTGTTCAGTCTCAGCTCTTTAGGCTGTGGATGATGGAGCATATTATAATCTGGCGTCTCTTTGATAACTCTGCTGTTTTGTTGGCATTTATAGAACTACTATGAAAAGATGGAGAAACGGCAGGAGAGGGAGCGAGACAGCAGCAGCAAGAAGGAACATGCCACCAAGCTGATCACTCCGCAGGTCGCCAAGGTGGAACACACCTACAGGCCAGGTAAGAATCAGCAGAGCTGCCCTGTAACACCAGAGAACCTTCTGCTGACGCTGCTGGATGTCGGTGTGCAGTTCAGTTTGCAGGATCTCTAGGGAAGCTTACAGTGTCCAGCGTGAACAACCCGCGAAAGATGATCGACGCCGTGGTGACGACTCGCTCCGACGACGAGGTGCGTGTTCGCATATTCTATCCTTAGTCAGGTGAAGCCATTGAGTTTAGTTTAGTGACCTGGTTCTGTGTGTCCTCCTGCAGGAGAAGAGAGAGAAGCAGGTTTGGAACAAGAGGCGTCAGATCCTCTACACCGTGGAGAAGGTAGGCGGAGCTCCGCTGAAGGGGAAAAAAACATTTCAAGACGTCTCTTTTGGTTATTCGTTCTATTTTTTTTTTTTTTTTTTTTTTTTACCCCTGTTCAGATGTACAGTTTGCTACTGGAGGTCCAAGACTTCGAGAAACGTTTTGTTCAGACTCCAGAGGAGGAGAGGGAGGCCCTGCTGGAGCAGCATAAGACCAACACGGAGCAGCTGTGCAGCTCCCTGCAGGAGAAGGAGTGGGAAGACAGGTAGGATGGATGGATGGATAGATGGATGGATGGATGGATGGATGGATGGATGGATGGATGGATGGATGGACTTCCAGCTCTTGCAGCAGTTTAAATGCCCCTCCTCCTCCCACAGAGTGAGTGATGAGCAGTGCGTGATGATCATGTCAGTGAGGAAGGGCAAGCGGCTCATCGCCAGGCTCCTCCCCTTCCTGCCCGCATCCCAGGGTGCTGCCGTTGTCATGGTGATTGCTCGCAACCTCCCTGCCTTGGCGAAGAAGGACAAGCAGGACCAGGTAACCATCTTTCATTCACGTAAAGGTTATGAAAACACTTTTGAGGAATTTATCATGTGGAATAAACAAATGTAAGTTGTGCAGTAATGCTATGAGAAAAAAGTAGTGCTACTATTTAAAGAAATGAGAGTAGATGAAATGCTATTCTCATGATATATAATGAGATATTCTTGTTTTTATATTCTGTTTACCCTTCTTGTTTAGGCAAGCATTCTAGTCCTACACGGTCAAATCTCATCACAAGTATTTTATTTTTCATGTTTTTTACTTTAGTATGTTCTTATCTTTATAGATGTGATCTTTTTTTATAGGATTTCAGTGCTTTGTGACTGTGTTTGCCAAAAAGCGCTTTACAAATAAACTTTTTAAAACTTATTTACTACTACCGCCTTCCAAAAACCGGCTTTCTTGCTTGCTTCGCTGGCTGTGTTTCGGGGATTTATAACGTGGAGGTGGACGGCACTAGTTGCTCTGTTTCTCAGGAGTCAGCACATTAACACTTCCTCTGCAGTGTTAATGTATTGGGTTTTCAATCTGGGGTCAAAAAGTGATCAGTGGCGGGATCGGCTAATTTTCTGATAGGTACTTATCTATCGTTTTTATTTGCACTGTCAGCTGTGATTCTTCATCCGGTTTCAGAAGATTGTGAAGTAGATGCAGAGCAGGCTTCACATAGGAGACTCTGATAACCCTCCCCAGAAAGTGCATCGGTGAAGTCTCAGAGTGCAGCTTCAGCTGGGCTAGAGTCATGCTTCTTTTAGGGCTTGTTTCATTTTCGATGTTTCGATTTTTTACGATGACGGCGGAAAGAAAGTTGTGGATAAAAGTGCAACAGTGTGCAACGCATTGTGCAACGCGTTTTGTTTATGCTAACAGCAACACGACCAACATGTCAGGCTAACAATAAACATATACCGAACCGAAAACCGTGACCACGAAACTGTGAACCGAACCGAACCATGGATTTTGTGAACCGTTCCACCCCTAATACACATGTATGTATCATTAAATCAAACGGCGTGTGTCCCAGGGCCCTGGCATAATTACATGAAGAAAACATGTCAGAAAATGCCTTCTCTTGAAAATTTGAGAGAACGTGGAGCGATTTCGTCGGAGCAGCAGGAAAGTTAAGGTGAGCTTGCAGCGTCCTGGCGCAACTTTGAGTGGCTGAGTGAATTAGCGAACATCCTCCTGAGCGGGAATCATGCGGCGCTCCGCTCCGTTCACATGCTCTATTTGCAGGTTTAGTTTATGGTTACGCTTCATTATATGGCTCTGATGTGCTGGACCTGAAGGTGCTTGTGGTGGCAAATAACTGCACCTTTTTAATGTTTTTTTTTTTTTTCCCCGTTTCCTTTTGGACAAACATCTTTCAACACGTCTGTCAGGCTGTTCTACAGTTTTCTACCTTTAACGTAGGGAGTAGGTTTTGTAAATGAATCTGTTAGCGTTTGCTGAATCAGAGAAGGATCGGCCACCGCTGCTGAAGCTGCGTCGGCTTCTTACCTTTAGTCGCCTGGCTCTCTTTGTGCTGTTGAGGATGCCTTCTTTTCGTTCGTTCGATGTGTTCCCATCACTTGTCTTGATGCTCTCCTTGTAAAGTTCACGTCGTTGGGTGTGAACCCAAACCAGTTCCATATTATGAACTAAGAGTTTCATTTAGCTGCTTGCAAAATAATGCAACATAATTCATTCCATACAGTCCCTGAAGGGAAGGAAGACGTCTCTGTTGAGCAAACAAAATGTTGCAACCCACACTTGGTCACTATTATTATCTTTGGTGGCTGAACTTCTTCAGCTGCTGCAGGAAGTACATCATCTGCTGTGGCATCTTGGCGAGGGAGGGGATGTGAGGCCCCCTCCCTGAGAGGTCCTGAGCGATGATGGTGCCCTTGAAGTAGAAAACATCAACGGTGGCAAGTTGTAAAGGAGGATGGGGAGAACTCTTTCAAAAGTCCATCTCCTCGGTTTTCTCAGTTGGAGAACAGGAAACCTTGTTTTGGTGTTTGAAGTTTGGATTGTTGCTAAAATGTAACAAAAACTATTAATAAATATGGGGGGAAAAACAAACACTTGGTTAGTTTTATTTACATTTTTTTCTGTTCTCTGGTATTTTCCGTTACAGCCAGAGTTGTGATCGGCTCGGTTCTGATCCAAACCTCTCTCTGCTCTCCTGTCCAGGTGTTATGCTGCTTGGTGGAGCCGGTCTCTGCAGTCATTCAGTCGCTGTCCAGCTCCGCCCTCACAGACCTGCTGCAGGAGCTTCAAGGTGGCGACGGTCAGCTGGCCGGCGTTCTGCAAAACAAGGTAAACCATCAGCAGACTGTAGCTGGTTGGGTGATCAGTCAGCCGGGGAGAACATGTGTGAGATCATCTGCTAAGGAGGAATCACTTCTTTTGCTGATGCTAGAAATGTCTTTCGTCCACCTGATCCTAAGCCCTTGTCACACCTTGCAGATTTAGACCACCGTATGCCTGACCTACGAAAAATATATATAAAGCACTGGCATACGTTGGATAAGTTATGGGTACGTTTTGTATATGTTATGAGAATGCTGAAGTACGCTGAAACACGCTGGCACACGTTTACATATGGCAAGTACATAAAAAAATGTGGGCATGCTCAAAATTTCCTGCGTATGCCATTCGTGAGGCATTAGTTATCTGATAGTTGACATATGTTAAGTGTAAGTTACTCATAAGTCATGGTGTCTAGCTTAACGAAAACCTATGAGTAACATTCAATTCAGTTTGTTTATATAGCTCCAATTCACAAGACTTGTCATCTTAAGGCCCTTTACAGAAACAATTCAACCAGATCATACAGTCAAACTGATTCAAAGTTTTCTATCCAAGGAAAACCAGTTGATTGCATTGAATCAAAGGCAGTCCCTCACACCAAACATACCTATAGCGACCGTGGAGAGGAAAAACTCCCTTTTAACAGGAAGAAACCTCCTGCAGAACCTGGTTCAGTGTGAGCGGCCATCTGCTGTGGGAGGCTGACGCTTCAGAGGACATGGGAGGAAGAAAGACTGGGCATAGAGTAGTTTCTGTTAAAAGAAAAACAGAGAATTCAAGGCTGAGTTATCAAGGCACTGCGCAGGTGTCCATGAGAAGCCCTGAACAACCACCTTAGACGTTTACATTTTGTTTAAGTATGAGGCAGTATACAGCATAACCAGTGGGGATGGATACTGTTCACATTACAGATACGGCAACGATGTTCTTTATCTGGTATTCAACAATACCCATTTTTGGTACCAAGCCTCATGTCACTGGCTGCAGACGACAGACTAACAGATGCCAACGGTGCCAAATGCGGGATTTCTTTTTTTTTTTTTTTTTTTATTGAAGTTTTTATTTGGAAAGGCAGGTTACAATTACTTTGTACATTCAAACTTCCACCACAGTGGAAATATGGGAAAGAATAACATAAGCCGATCCGGAGTTTTTGTATAATAACCAAACATCTATAACTTAAAAAAAAAAAAAAAACGAGCGGGTGGGAACATGAGGTCTAATTCAAATTTTCCTTATTTTTGGGGAAAAGCACAATTCAGGACATAAGCCTGCCAAAAGGGAACAGTACACAGCACAACAGTATTTGCATGTGATAAGACAAGTTTAGATCACAGGGATTACTGGTTTTATATAGTTTGTCCACTTAGACCAAATCCTGAAAAAAGATTCCCTACGTCCTTGGACAGAGAAAGTTAGCTTCTCCAGCATGTAAATGTCCTGCACTATGCCCAACCATTCCTCTACTGTAGGTGCTTGAGGTTTGAACCATTTTCTGGTGATTGTCTTTTTACTTGCAGCCAACAGCATTAACAGCAGTTTTTTATCTTCCAGAGTCCAGTTGTCAGATGGAATGTTTCCTAAGTACAGAATTTCACATTTACACGGGAGATTTTTAGTGAAGATGTTGTTTATGTGGGAACACGTTTGCTCCCAAAAATCTTTAATCACCGGACATCCCCAAAAGATGTGGTGGTGATTTGCTCCGTTTTTTCCACAGAGTCTCCAACAGGCGTCTCCGCTGCCATGATGTTTTTTCTGAGCTGGAGTTACAAAATATCGAACAGAGTTTTTCCAACAGAACAGTCTCCATGTGTTGGAGCTTGAAGTCATCCAGTGTAGTTTATTAATCTGTTCCCAGACTTCAGTTGAGATAGTTACGTTTCCTTCTTTTTCCCACCTGTTCCTTATATAATTCGTATCGCCTTGTTTAGAAGATAGAATAGCATTGTAAAGTATGGAAACAAGTTTCTTGCATGAACCTGACTTCAACAAAGACAAAAACACATCAACCAATTTTGATTTGGCTGTTTCCCAATCATTACGTATGTTTTGATTGAAATAGGCCCTCACTTGTAAATATCTGAAGAAGTCGTCCCTCTCTAACCCATTAGATCTCTGAAGCTCCTCAAAACTCTGAAATACCCCCTTTTTGGTAAATGTATAGTAGGTGGTTATTCCTTTTTGGATCCATCCTCTAAATCTCCCATCCATCTTATTCGGTTTAAAAGCAGAGTCAAAGGCACACCATCTGAGTATTTTTATCTGGTTGCCCAATTTACAGATTTGAATCACCTTTCTCCAGGAATCCAGCATTGTGTGTAACATTGAACCTTGTGGTATATTCAGCCCATCTTGTAATTCCGTATCCATTAATACTGAAATTAGGGGTATTCCCTCCACTGTTCTACCTTCCATATCTTTCCACCTTGCATCGTATGATGGAGAGCATAGACAGAACACTGGTCTTAACTGAGCTGCAAGGTAATAAACTTGCAAATTGGGAAGACCCAGTCCACCTTTCTCTTTCTTTAATTGCAGTGTCCTATACCTCACCCTTGCCTTTTTTCCCTGCCAAATATACTGAGATATCATTCTTTCCCATTCTATAAAACGTCTTTCTGATATCAGGATAGGTAAACATTGAAATAGATAAAGGAAGCGTGGGAGAATGTTCATTCTGACCGATTCCACTCTGGAGTATAGATTTGAGAAAGGGGTCAGGTTCCATCTCTGTATGTCTGACTTCAGGTTTGAGATTAGGGGCCCATAGTTGACATCAAAAATCTTAGAAAAGTCCTTGGGCAATGTGACCCCTAAATATTTTATGGAATCTGCCTCCCAGTTCCAACTGTACAGTTTTCTAATATTGTTCTGTGGGTTATAATTTATTGTTAGAGCCTGAGTCTTGGTAACATTTATCTTGTAACCCGAGAGCAAGCCATATTCCTCGACTGCTCCCATAAGTACAGGTAGAGTTTGAGATGGATTTGTAATGGTTAGCAACAAATCGTCTGCAAACAATGAAAGCTTCTGTTCCCCAGATGCCATGCGAACCCCAGCTATGTCTGTTCTCTGTCTTATCCATTGACTTAACGGCTCTATGAAGAGGGCGAAGAGAAGCGGCGAAACGCAGCATCCCTGCCTCGTACCCCCTTTCTAAAACAAAGGGGTCAGATAGGTCTCCATTAATTTTTATCCTAGCCGATGGTTTATTGTATAGGGCTGAAATGACATCAATTATGTTCTGGTGAAACCCAAATCTGGACATAACTTTGTAGAGAAAGGACCATCTTACCGAGTCAAAAGCCTTCTCTGCGTCCAGACTCAGTACAAGGGTCTCTATTTTTTGTTGAACTACATGGTTTAAGATGTGCAAAGTTTTTCTGATGTTGTCCTGTGTCTGTCTCTGTTTGATAAAGCCTGTTTGGTCCTTATGAATTATCACTGGTAAGATGTTTTCTAATCTCTGTGCAATTATGGCAGTAAATAATTTGTAATCAATATTAAGCAGGCTTATCGGCCGGTAGTTTCTGCAGTCCAACTTATCCTTTCCCTCCTTGGGGATTAATGAAATAATTGCATCTCTCCATGAAGGAGGAATTATTTTCTTCTCCAGAACATTGTTGAAGACTCTTAATAAAACAGGGACTAATAGATCTTGCATTTCTCTGTACCACTCAGAGGTAAACCCATCCGTTCCTGGAGATTTCCCTCCTTTTAACTTTTTAATCACCGATCTTAGTTCTGCCTCAGTTATCTCTGATATTAATTGTTCGTTTTGCTCGGCTGTAATGTTGTGCAGAGTGAGTTGAGAAAGGAATGTATCTATTTGCTGTTCATTATTCAATTTGGGTTGGGAATATAGGATTTGGTAATACTCTCCAAAGCATTTATGAATCTTTGCCAGGCTTGTTTCAACCCTATTTGTATGGATATTCTGTATTTTGTGAATAGTTCTATCAGCTTGTTGTTTTCGTAGTTTAAATGCTAGGAGCTTCAGGGATTTTCCCCCAGCCTCATAGTTTTTCTGTTTAGTAAAGAGAAGTTTCTTTTGTATTTCTTGCAGGTTTAAATCATTCAGCTCTTTTTTCACTATCTCAATTTTATTTTTTGTTGCCCTCTTGAAGGTTTTGGAATGTTCTTTCTGTAGTTTTTTTAGTTCCACTTCCAATTGGGTTTGTTTTAATTGTCTAATTTTCTTTTCGTAGGAGGAGATGGCTATGATTCTTCCCCTGATTACCGCCTTTAATGCATCCCAAAGTATTGCTGGACCCACCTCTATATTGTCATTCTCTTCCAGATATCGTTTGATTTCAGTTTTCATATTCTCCTTAAAGGATGTACTATTTAATAAGTTCGTATTCAGTCTCCAGAGCGTGGATCTGTTTTTTTCAGCCAGCAGGAGAGAAATATAGATTGGGCTATGATCTGAAATTGGACTAGATCCGATTGCCCAACTTTCTAATCTATGAACATCCTTTTTAAACATGAAGAAATAATCTATTCGTGAGTATACATTATAAGAAGAGGAATAATGAGTGTAGTCACGACTTGTTGGGTTCTTATCCCTCCATATATCCACTATTCCCAGTTCGTCCATCATACTTTTCATTCTTTTACTGGTATTTCTTAAACTTGTTTTCCCATTTGATGAGTCCAGATTTGGATTTAGCCTAATATTAAAGTCCCCTGCGCAAATCATTATACCTTGACTTTCTGTTGCTGCTAATTCAAGTATTTTTTTATGAAAAGACCAATCACTACCAGGTGGAGCATAAACATTAATCAGACTTATCGGGATGCCATCTATTTTTCCTGTGATTAAAATATAACGACCCTCCCTATCTTTATGTTCTGTAACATGTTCATAGTACAAGGAGCTAGATATTAAAATGGCTACCCCTCTTCGTTTCCCAGAGCCGTGGGAAGAAAAATAGACAGATTTAAACCCCATCTTCTTCAGTTTGGCGTGTTCAGAATCACCTAGGTGGGTTTCCTGCAGCATTGCTATTTGAACTTTTTCTTTCCTGAGCTTAGACAGGACTCTCCATCTCTTACTCGGATTATTTAAGCCATTTACATTGAAAGAAACCACCTTTAACTGTGTCAAATGCGGGATTTCTAGCCGTGGATCTGAGGGTGTAAACTTAATTCTGTTTCTTCTTAAGTTTTAAACTAAGAATAAACCAATAAACTGTAAAAATACCTACTTTATTTGTTGTGTACACTAGAGATGTCCCGATCCAGGTTTTTGCACTTCGGATCCGATATTGTTTTTGGACTTCCGATCCGATACCGATACTGGCCGATACCAGCCTATCCGAGCATGTATTTAAGTTTAAGTTAAAGTATTTAGCCTTAGTTGTAAGACTGATGTTGAAAAGGGTTTTAGTACTCTTGATAACATCTAGCCAGCTGAATTAGGTGAGATTGAATAAAAACAATGCTTGGTAACAACAAACTTACCTGTTTATTAAGAGATAAACACAAACTGGACAAAATTATGAATAGCAATCTGAAATATCACAGTGAACAGTAAAACCGTAAACAGTTAAAGGTGCAAGTATTACTGTAAGTTTTAATAAAAATGCAAAAAAGGGAAACACTGGCGCAAAATAGTGGAATGGACTGTTCAATCGGCAAAACTGGAAAATACGGACCGGATTTTTTTTTTTTTACATGCTTTGCCGATACACATTTTTTTGCCAATATCGGCGTCCGATACGTGGATCGGATCGGGACAAGCCTAGTGTACACTAACTTATCTCATTTATGTTTCTTTTACCTGTCTGTAACCATTTATGTGAAAAGTCTGCCTCTGGCTCATTATGAAAGAAGCAGTGCAGAAACTGTCCACACTGTTACAAAAGTTCAGATGTATGCTGCCATGCGCCCTGACAACGTAATAGAGTAGCTGGAGAACGTAAGACAGTGAGGAAAAGTGGTCTTTTTGTCCTCCAGCAGCATAAGCCTATAGCAGCATAACTATAGAAGAGGATTAGCTCTATCAAAGGGAAAAGTAACTTCCTTCCATCATTCTGTTTGTCTGTACAGTTTGGAGTGACGCTGCTGTACCTGATCCTAAGTGAAGGAGAGCGGATGCAGAGTTCCGACCCAAACTGCCAACTCATGGATGACAATCGATGGTGAGTCTGGGTTTCATCAATAACTACGCTCACACTGCAGCCTGAAGTGACCCAAATCTGATTTTTTTTTTTTTTTTTTGGCGCATATGCGACCTGGATCTGAACCTTTCATGGCTGTCTGAACAACACAGATCCGATTTTTTCCAATGCGACCCAGGCCACTTGGCTAGGTGGTCCTGAATCCGATACGAATCCGATCTTTGCTAATGTGACCTGTGTCTGAGCGGCAAGGTCGCATTAATCCAATCTGAACGTCATTAATACCCGACAAAGGTCACTATTCTGGGTTTTGCTATGAAGAAGCGGCAAGAAAAACAACAACCATGGCGGACCATGATGCGTAGAGCAGTAATTATGTTTAACCATCTTGAAAAGATTGTGTTTTTGTGGTTGGGAAAGATCGCTAGATGCGCTGCGGCACTACCATTCATGTTAACTTCTGTAAACACAGAGCACGCTGGCCTGTGATGTCATTGCGTCCTCTACTGCGCATGCGGGACAGTTGCGTTGTATGGCTGCAGTTCACACAGGAGATCACATACAAGTCGCATATATTTTGAAATGTGAACGACAACGCAAAAAAAAAAAAAAAAAATTGGATTTCACAAAAAAATCGGAAGTGAGCATCAAGTCCTGCAGTGTGAACGTAGCCAATGGTTTCCTCCCATTCGTCACCCTGCGGGTTTCTGTTGACATTAATCTGTCTTCTTTCAGGACAGAGTTGGTGTTTTCAGTGACGAGGGAGCTGCTCGGCGTCCCGTCTTCGTCCCTCTCCCCTCCCCTCTTCACTCCTCCCAACCTGCTCTCTCTGTTCTCGCGCTACGTGGATCGGCAGCGGCTGGAGCTGTTACAAGACAAGCTACAGTAAGTCGAATCAGACCACGCGCTCACAGTGGAGTAAACATGTTGCTAAAAAATCTGTTTGCTTTCCAGGATCTCAGCTTCATCCAGGTAGAAGTTACATCATCATTGACGACGTTGACCCCACCCCCCGGCCCAGTACATGCAGAATTTCAGTGTGTGTCAGAGTGTGTGTGGTGTGTATGAGTGTTTGGTCTGGATGATTTTAACGCAGAAGAATCTCTAGTCACATTTGTTTCTGTGTTTAGTCCGATGTTCTGCTTGTGTGCGTCTGTGTGGATGATTGTAAAATTATGTGAAACAATCTGAATCATAACAAAAATCAGTTCTGCATTTTTAAATATCTTGTTTACAATTATGCCTGTGATAAAAATTAAAAAGTATTTCTATTATATAACAAGCCTGTGTTCCCTGCTCTGTTCAGAAATTATCTCTCTTTAGTTTGACTTAAAGAGTCCAGACACTCCTGAACCGTCGCTCAGCCTTTCAAAGTCTCATTTTTATTTTATTTTTAATTTTGGAAACCAAGGTCCCAGAGTGTGGAGGATGAAAGATTTATAATCCAAGGTGCAAAAGATCTGGTGACGGTCTAATTAAATCACTAGTTTTATCAAACCGTGGCTCATAAATATATAATGTCTTATATTAATGTTTTGCTGTCTAAATTAATTAACGGTTCATCATAATATACTCATTGAAAGGGTCGAGCTTTGCTTTAACTACATAAACTCTTCTAGATGACCTGCAGAGAGACAACTTTCCGTCATCTTCATAAAACGCAGACTGCTATAAAGGTTAAAAAAATATTTGATGTGAATAAGTGATTACCGTACTAACAATTAGAAAGTTAACTGTTTGTAACACTGCTGCCGCCTGCTGGTGTAGAAGGGAACTGCTTATTCCAGAGTTGGTCAACTTGGGAGGAATAAATCGCCTGATGGGGCGCGTGGCTCCATCCCTGATGGCATCTGCTGTTGATGGTCCAGTGTGTCCAAAGTCCACAATCAGAAACCACCTACTAGAACACTTAGAACACCTCTGCTGATGAGCTTCATGTAGCCATGGGTTTCATTTTCCTACTGGACTTGATTCCAGTCCATGCTGCCAAAGGGACCAGACACTGGTTTAAAGGGCCCTTATCTGTTATTTTAATCCCTCTAAAGTCAACTAAATGTAAATGTAAAATAAAACCTTTAGCACTTAAACCTTCATTCTGCTTTCATGTTTGATCAGCAGATCTAGATTACGAGTGAAGCATTGCTCACCTTTCCTGTGTGTTTTCAATACTTGTACTGATTTTTTTTTTTAGCCGGATGCTGAAGCTGCCAATCATCACTGCTATATCTCTGGTTTAGGGAGGGAATTGGTTTTCCACCAAATGTTAAAGAACCCTTTTTAAAAAACTGCTGTGTCTGGATTATGATGTGGATCACCACCAACATGGAATGGATTGTTCCTTGGACCTTTAGTGAAAATGTAATTAAAATCCAATCATAACTTTTCAAGTTATCTTGACACTGACGGACAGAAAGCAGCTCGACTAAAACCATCACCTCCTTGGCAGAGCAAAATATAGCTAACTTCTTCCAACCCTAAATAGAAACAGTCCACCTTCAGCACTTCTGAAGGCTGAACAGTTAGAGACTTCTGGTGATCAAGAAAAAAAAACTGATTTTCACGACTCAGACTGTCATAAGGGCGGCTGCTGTCCTATTAAATTAGCTGCTAAAATAAGTAGGAATTCTCTCCCTATTCCTTAAACAATTGTTTATGCAAGCCAAGGAGGGGCTGCTGCTAACACAGCAGAGCTCATGTGGATTATAAAGTGAAGCGGGAAGAAAAATACCCATTTCTACATGATTTGGAAGATGTGAAAGCATTACAAGTAAAGCTCAAAAAAGTCTCAATCTTTTTTATCAAGCCCCTATTCGTCTAATCTAAACAACATAAAGGAAACTATTTGGTCTAAAGATTCAACTTTAGATCTAATGTGTTGCTTGTGAGCCAGAGCTAGTCAAGTAAACAGGTTGACTAACGTCTGTGCGCCGATAGGTAGGAGACAATGGAAAAAGGATAAACTTTTAACTCTTCTGAATCACTGTGAAAAAATAAAAAAATATGTTCGCCCGAACAGGGACTTGAACCCTGGACCCTCAGATTAAAAGTCTGATGCTCTACCGACTGAGCTATCCGGGCTCTGACTACAGCCACATCACGCATTCAACTTGTACCTGCGGACCCGACGCCCTAGAGAAAAAATGTGGACTGTTTTGTTAAAAATGTGCGAGGTCCAAATAGTAGTGCAGTAGCGATCCTTAGAGCACCTTTTTAACGTATTTAGTCATTTGATTCAAAACAAAGAGTTTATCGGAATCTGGTCTCGAGCTCACGATATTTATTCTGTGTCGTTCCTCCACCACTTTGCGCGGAGTTTAATGGTTAGCTGTTACAAGGCACAGATGGAAATACTGGAACGTGATTGGCTCTAAGGGCTAAAATGGAAATGCTGGAACGTGATTTGCTCTTCAACAGCGCCGATTTATGGGGTTAGGCTTCTTGATTGGGTGTAAACCGAAATGGAAAGATGGAAATACCGCAACCTTATTGGATGGTAATCAGGGCCGCTGGTATTACCTTTGAACAGGGGGTGCTTTGAAAATTGTTTTGGTTTTTTTTTTGGACAAAACACCTATTAGCCTAGATTCGCTATACAATTCAATACACTTCAGTGCACGCAACCAGGGTCTGTAACACACAGACATCATCATTCTCAGGAGAATATATGGGCTATTAATTCAACTTCACAATAACACTATAACAATGTAGATTTGGTGTTATTATGTCACACAGGACTATTAGCTCCAAAATCCTTTTATGCAAACAACAAGGAAATAATTATATTATTATATGATACGTTAATGAACAATTCTCCACATCTGTTACACAAATAACTATCTCATTATATTGAGTTAGTATCTCATTATATTGAGTTATTATATCATTATATTGAGTTACAACCTCATTATATTGAGAGATACTATCTCATTATATTGAGTTAGCATCTCATTATATTAAGTTACTATCTCATTATAATGAGATACTATCTCATTATATTGAGTTACCGTCTCATAATTTTTTTTCTTTTTTTTACAGAGTGGCGGAAACGGGCTTCCATCAAATGTTCTGTCATTCTTTTTTCATAAAAAAACGCGTTCATTTAAGCGTAACTTATAATTATTATTATTATAAAAGAACAGAACTAGGGAAGAACGCCTTAAGCTACGCAGTTCCTTGTGTTGTGGAATTTTTTACACTGCAAAAATGATCTAGAAATAAGTAAAGTGTTCTTAAAATAAGATAATTAGATCATATGAACTTTAAATAAGACAATGCAATGGTTGTTTTCTTTTCTTAAATGTAAATTGCCGTGTTCCATTGGCAAAGTGTCTCTCTTGCCTACTTAACTCAAGAAAAAATTCGCTTATTTTAAGAAAAAAATATTTATTAAGATTCAACTTTTTGCAGTATACAAAGAAACTGGAAGTTGACTGAGTATTTATCTTTAAATGCTTTTAAGTTGAAAGTGAAAGAATTTGAAGCAGCCTCAATCAAGGACGCAGATAGCGTGTACGTCAGGGGTGTTCTGACGTACACAGATTAGAATGACCCTCAATCCGTCCCCCCCACTTTTATTAAAAAAAAAAAAAAAAAAAAAAAAAAAAACATACGGCGAAACTCACAGAAAATCAAAAAGCTTTTTCTAATTTACTGCTTTGCAACAACAACATAAAACAGTGAGATCATAGACGGGCAATCGTTTTGTTTAACTGCAGGCTGCCTGCGTCGTAGAGATTCTAATCTAAAAGTTATCCTGTCTCTGGCATTTACGTCTCGAGCCTGGTTTCCATGGTTACTCAGACAGACAGTAGTGGTGGGATAGTTCCCAATTCCGGAGTCCGGACATCAACATGAGGCCAGCCAAACCGAAAAAACAGAAAACAATTGCATCCTTTTTTCGAAAAGCACCAACTGTAAGTAAACTGTTCATCATATCACCTTGCATTTTTTTGGTTGTCTGTTCGATGTCGCCGTGGAAAAAAGAGTAGAGACGGTCAGTGAGAATAGCGTGAAGAGAGGTGCCAATGTCATAAGGCGGGAGGCAGGGGGAATCGACTGGCATTTATTTATTTATAATTAAATCGACTGTTCCGACTTTTTCTGGAGTTGTTGGGGGTCTTTCAGAAATGTGTAGGCTACAGTAGGCTACTTGAATCCGTATTTATGCCAAGCCAAATGGTTTAGGTTGTTACAGGTTGAATCATGAGAAAAACGAACTTCAAAGCTAGACAAATTCCACTACACAGGGGCGGATTTAGGAAATTTGGGGCCCTAGGCAAAGACAGGCATGGGGCCGTCTGAATTGAGAAGACAACATATAGAACAGACCCATTATACAGATACAGAAATTTTAATAGAATAGAAATTTGAGGATGTCATGTATCTTCAAGTTTGTCTATGTCACTGTAACTCGGAGGAAAGAATCTCTCTCATATATATATATATATATATATATATATATATATATATATATATATATATATATATATATATATATATATATATATATATATATATATATATATGTGTATATATATATATATATATGTGTATATATATATATATATATATATATGTGTATATATATATATATATATGTGTATATATATATATATATATATATATATATATATATATATATGTGTATATATATATATATATATATGTGTGTATATATATATATATATATATATATATATATATATATATATATATATATATATATATATATATATGTATGTGATCCTTAACATCCCCAGCTGTACACAATAACACACATTAAAGCAATGTTAATACAAAGCTGTAAAGCAGAGTGAGACGTTGATAATAACTTCCTTATGTTTTTTGAATGTATAACTTTAATTATAAAGGACTAAAACACCTAAAACTTATGGGTGATTTTACAACATTTAAAAGCCTGAGATTTTACTGAAATTGGGGCTACTGGGGCTCACTGGCCTTAGATGTAATGAGCGAACTGGAAGTGCTGAATACATCGCTCCAAAAAAGCACCCAGACATTGGAGGGCATGGTCTCTGCAGTCTCAGTTGTCCAAGAGAGTTTATGGGACAAAAGAAAGCCAGCCCACTTTGAGGCAGTCTTTAAGGAAGCAGTGGATATGGCTGAGAAGCTGTCTCTAGAGCCCATTGCTCTACCTCGAACACATAGGCCCTCAAAGAGATATTCTGGGCCAGCACCTGCACACAGGCCAGAATCTGCTGTGGAGTACCACAGAGTTGAGTTCTACAGAGTCCTTGACAAAGTAGACACACAACTTTCTTCATTTGAGGCCATTTATTGAAAAGCCATGTAAAGTACTTATTTACAAATTTGTTTTTGTATATATGTAGGCTTTGCTGTTCGTGTTTCTGTGTGTTTACAGCCTGCACTTAAAGTCAGTCCATGTTTAAATAAAACCTTTTTTTTTTCACATGTCATGTGGCATGTTTGGTGTGTACTTGGTACCAATACATGTTATTTTCTTGCAATGATGGGCAATTAAGATTGATGGATTGTCATAGCTGAGTAATAGCCAGAATTAGTAACTGTCCCCCACAGTTTCAAAAACCTATCTGCGCCCCTGGCCTCAATGATCTGTAATTGTTTTACTTGATGTTTTTTTGTATTTAATTGAATGTATCTCTGTTTATTATGTCACTTTGCTGCCTTTTTTTGTTTGCATATTAAATATTGTGACAAATGTATTGATAACAAAAAAGGAGCTGTATTTGGTATATTGTTGTTTTCATTATACAGTGTTATATCTACAATATCTAATAAATAATTCCATACAGGTAATAGAATGCATAAAAATGACGTAATACGCAGAAGTGCTGTTTTTTATTTCTATATAAATATTATGCTAAAAACCAGATTAGGCTATAATCTGTCACAGATTTAGGTGTTAAGAAGAAAATATGTTTACATTTACTGCTCGTGAAAGTAGCCCAGACAGCTGTCGAGCCAGGCAGGCTGCAAGTGATTGGTCAAACAAAGCCCAACGTAATCCCAAAACTGAGACATGATTGGTCCTTCAGGAGGAGGCGTTCACCGATTGGCTATTTTGGGTTTATATTTTCTGACATAGATGAATCACTGAATCGCTGCACAGGAAAATAAAAAAAATAAAAAGGAAAAAGCATTTGTTTAGAACTGAATTTGACTGTTAATCTGTTATCTGATGTATTATTAGTTTATGTTTGTGGTCCAACAATTTTGTTGACTTTTCTAACTGCTTTTATTACGTTTTATCCTTACTCGCTGTTATTCTGCTTTATATATATTTGCTTGTATTTTATTGTCAAATCAACGTAAGGCAATTTCAATTGTCTTTGTGTTAAATTCGTTCAGCACAAGATCAAAACCAGAGGGACAGAGTCTGCCCTCAGCTGCCGGAATATAAAAGCGTCGTTTTTTTCCCCTCGTCTCAAGTTTTCACTGGTGGATGCTAAATATTAGCACAGCTAAACATGACGTCAGGACTATTCTCCTTTGAAATTCAGACTTTGTTCCGTATGCAACAGGTGGCTCCGTGGCGCAATGGATAGCGCATTGGACTTCTAGTCAAGCACTTGAGCAGTGATTCAAAGGTTGTGGGTTCGAGTCCCACCGGAGTCGCATTTTTTTTCCCGTTAGATTTGCAAACATGTTTTTTTTTTTTCCAAGTCCAGCTAGTTTGTTCAATCAGCTACCTACTTTAAACTGAACAGCGAAACAACTTTGATAAACTACAACCTTAACAGATAGATATTATAAAAAAGCATATATTCCTTTGAACCACTAGATGGAGCCCTTGTGCAGTGAGTCAATCGTCTGGCATCAGTGAAGCTTCAGCTGTAACTATTCATTCCCAACATAAAGAGAGGAGGAAGCAAACAGGCAGATTCAAACGGGAACTGAGAGTTGGAGCAGCTGGAAGTTTTAAGTTCATCGGATCATGGAGGCGCTGAGAACATCTGTAGCCTTTCTGCTGTACTTGGCTTCCTCTGCAGCGGTAAGATACCGGAAATTTCATCCATATTTATTCTGGTAGAATGATAGAAATGAATTTTTTTCTTATTTCAGATGTAGAAATATGATCTAATCTAGACATTATTTGATTCAAATTTTAGAAGGGTCAGGAAATTTGTTTTTATTCTTACTGTAAAATATAGTATTGATATTTTTACATAAAAGTTTTCCTGTGACCCTCCTTAAGCTGTGTTCTAGCATGGCCGCATGATGAACCAAGAAGACAATTTAGTTCCATTACTGTTCCAAGCAAAAAATGTGTTTTGAAAATTTAAAATATCATTTCTGCACTGCATTTTTTAAAATTTAATTTTACAAATTTTCATTTTTTTTTGTTTACAACAATAATGGAAGAAAATTCCCTCCATAATGACCATCTCTATTGAATGAAAATCCATCCGCAGTTTGAGAAAGAAAGAAAAAAAGAATTTCAGGTTGGGACGGAATCACTATTAAAAATGTTTTCACTAAATGTTTAAAATTATCAGATTTTTTCCATCTTAATGAACCAAACAACTTTTGGGAACCCAAACCATTGTGCGTCCACCACCATACCCCACTGCTGGTTATCATTTTTTAATCTATTACGTTTTGCTGTGACGGCTTCACTGCTGTGGTTTGGTTCCTGGTCCAGGGACCGTTACGATGTGAGAAGAAGGTTCTCCGTCTGGAAGCGGAGATCCAGGGCCTGATGAGTGTGATCAACGACCAGCACCGCTACATCCAGGAGCTCCAGAGCAGCCAGGCGCAGCAGCTGCAGCACATCCCCAACATGTTCCTGGGCCACAGCAACCTTTACAAAGGTCAGTTCCATTCAAAACATATCTAGAGATTTTAACCAGAGAAGGGTGTTTCTGCCAATGCATTGAGGATAACTCACTTATTTTTTATTTAATCATATTAACCTCTTTATTTCTTAAATTTTTTCTCCTGGTGTTTTTTTCTTTTGGGAATAAATCATTTCAAGTTATTTGTAATAGATGCTCTGAATAATTGAACATTTCTTAAAATTCAGAAGCTACTTTCCCTACTGGTTCCGTTTATTCAGCAGTTTAGCTCATTGTTTGGTTCCCTGGGTTCTAGCGTCAAGGTCAGAGGACTAGAGGAAGAGGAAAAGGACTCAGCAGATGCATCTCTGGCCCGTGTCTTTGTCGTTTGTTTTAAACCTTTTGTAAGAAAGCGTCCTCAAACGCAGCAGTAGAGTAACCCTGGTTGTGTCTGCTCAGACTGCTCAGAGGTGTTTGCAGACGGGAACGTGGCCAGCGGTCTGTACGTCATCCGTCCAGATGGTTCACCCACGGCGCTCAGCGTCTACTGCGATATGAGCAACGGAGGAGGATGGACCGTCTTCCAGAGGAGGAGGGACGGGAAGGAGAGCTTTGACAGGTTTCTTTTGTTACACACAGCCTGAGAAACAAGCCCACATCAATATTCCTCCACTGCCATGTCTAAGCATGCTCGGACATCCTCACTTCGTTGAGCCTAAACGCTGCTACCATGCTGTTCTTTAGAGAGACAAATCTTTCTACTTTAACTTTTCCAAACAGACACACCGGTGCAGGGTCATGACCTTTGACCTATTTTTATATTCTGGAGCCTCTGAGTTGAAGTATGTTTTGTTTCCAGCGATAGCAGGTTGATCTGCGTTTGTGTTGCAGGACGTGGTTGGAGTATAGCCACGGCTTTGGAGATCTCTTCTCCCCTGAAGGAGAATTCTGGTTGGGAAACGATCCTCTGCACCGCCTCACCTCACAAGGTCTGTCAACACTTTTATTCAAACTGATTAAAAAGTTTTTTTTAGTTTAAACAAGCAGCAGACTGAATTCCGTCACTGATTTAGCAGCAATCCCTCACGCCCAACATAATTGTACAGAAATGGCTCCTGTCAGAGGATAAACAATCCGTTTAGCTGTTTAACCCAGATGACCAAAAAATATGAGATACACACTACAAAAAAATTAAATCTAAATAAGTCATTTCTTCTTAAAATATGTGCATTTTTTCTTGAATTAAGGATTTAAGTGAGACACTTTGCCAATGGAACAAGACAATTTCACTTAAAATAAGAAAAAAACAATTGCATTGTCTTATTTCAAGTGCATTTTATCTAGATACCTTATATTAAGAGTAAAAATACTAGTTCCATTGGCAAATCATCTTATTTACCTGCTCAAATTAAGGGTAAATACCCTTAATTTAAGAAATTTTTACTCATTTTAAGATAATTTTTGCAGTGCATAAACATAAATGTCCCAGGAAATAAGTCAATGAGAAATTAGTTTCTTTTTTTTTAATACATTAAATTCTAAATATACAAAAAAAATACATCACTAAGTCCATCCATCCATCTTCCTCCGCTTATCCGGGGTGGGGTCGCGGGGGCAGCAGCTTAAGAAGGGAGGCCCAGACTTCCCTCTCCCCAGCCACTTCTTCCAGCTCTTCAGGAGGAACCCCAAGGCGTTCCCAGGCCAGCCGAGAAACATAGTCTCTCCAGCGTATCCTGGGTCTTCCCCGGGGCCTCCCCCCGGTGGGACGTGCCCGGAACACCTCACCAGGTAGGCGTCCAGGAGGCATCCTAAACAGATGCCCGAGCCACCTCAACTGGCTCCTCTCGACGTGGAGGAGCAGCGGCTCTACTCCGAGTCCCTCCCGGATGACCGAGCTTCTCACCCTATCTCTGTATCCGCGATCTCGTTCTTTCGGTCATGACCCAGAGTTCATGACCATAGATGAGGGTAGGAACGTAGATCGACCGGTAAATCGAGAGCTTCGCTTTTTGACTCGGCTCTCTCTTCACCACGACGGACCGGTACAGCGCCCGCTTCACGGCAGACGCTGCACCAATCCGCCTGTCGATCTCCCGCTCCCTTCTTCCCTCATTTATTCAATTAAATAATTTAAAGAAAACCTCTAAGAGTTAATCTAAATAAATATAGTCTAATTTTATCTGAATCCAGAATTTATCTGCTGTATATTATATTTTCACCTTATGTAATGCTGCTTAAATCTGTTTATTTTGTGTTTTACAATTCCCCCTGCTGTTCAGCACTCAGTTTGAAAGCAATTCAAGAAATAATAAGTTAAGATGTTATTATTGTTGTTTTTATTTTTATGTAGCGACAGTAGGAAGGAAAACTCCCCATGAAACCAAGAGGAGCCTGACTGCAGACCTGTACTGTCTTGTCTCCTGTGCTGTCAGAACTGGAAGTTTATTCAAATACTTTCAAAGCAAAAGCAAAGTTGATTTGAAGCGTTTCGAGCTAGCGTCGATAAACTCCCCGTGAAGCTAGTTTCCTTTCACAAACAATTGTTATGCTGGAAACTTACACTGAAAAAATTATCTAGAAATAAGTAAAAATTTCTTAAATCAAGTGTATTTACCCTTAAATTTAGTAGGTAAATGGGATGATTTGCCAATGGAATGAGTATTTTTTTTACTCTTTAAATAAGATAATTAGACAATATGCACCGGTAATAAGACAATGCAGTTGCTTCTTCTTATTTTAAAGATAAATTGTCTTGTTCCATTGGCAAAGTGTCTCCCTTACCTCCTCAATTCAAGAACAAATGCACTTATTTTAAGAAACAAATGATTTATTTAGATTTTGCATTTTTTCAGTGTATGTGCACACTCAATTTTACTCCCCACCAAACTCCAATCTGAAATAATCGATAAGTTCTACATAGAAATAAGTCTCTGTATTTGGTCTATAAGACTTTTTTAAACGATAATGGAGGTTGGCTGTCCTATGTGGATTTATGCTTACTGTATAATATAAACTGCTCCTATGCTCAGTTTAACACTGTCAGAAACTCCTGCAGCAAACACATGCTGCGCACTATTCTCGAAGGCAGTGCAGGAGACCCCATTTTGCAGGTCCGCAATAAAAGGTCCTGACAGTGCAGGTCTGCAATGAAAGGTCCTGACAGTGCAGGTCTGCAATGAAAGGTCCTGACAGTGCAGGTCTGCAGCCAGACTCTCTTGTTGAAACCTGCATGCAGTCATCAACATCCTGCTGAAGGAACCCCATTAGCTTCAACATTTAATAACCTTTAAGGGTTAATATTTTTTTTTTCATTGAATTAAATGAGGATAAGAGCTCCAGCAGAACCAGAACCAGAATGAGGCTCCGTGTAAACAGCCTTCAGTCAGAACAGGATCAGAGAGAGCATAGAGTTAGTCTCCTTCTCTCCCTGTGTGTGCTGACCTGTTTTCTGGGTTTAATTCTGCAGGAACCTACGATCTGCACATCGACACTGAGGACTTTGACGGCAACCACCGCTTTGCAGAATACAAGAACTTCCGAGTGGACGACGAGAAGGTTGGATATTTATGGAAATGCTGAGAAAAATCCAATCGGTCTAATTTTGATTACATTCATGCTCTTTGCGCCGTCCTCACAGCCTCTAACCTTGCCTTCTGAATTTCCCAAAACATAGAGTTCTATTTAGACTAGATTTCTTCTTCTGTTACTATAGAAACATCAAGGTCGTCTCCATCCTGCCGTTAATTTCTGTGCACCTGTTCTGTCCATAAAAGCTTGGTTTTCACGGTGGTGCTCAGATCAAATGTAGCTTAGTACAGGTGTGTAATTCGGCATTATGTATACATCGAATAATATATTGAAATCTACGGAAAGACATTTGGTCCAATATTACGTGCAAAGAACACATTTCAAAAAAGTAAAGTAAAATTAATGTTTTTTAATAACTGAACTGTGAGAAAGTTTTCCTATTTTTTTTTTAAACAGATTTAATTTTCCCAACTCAATTGTTCCCAAAAAAAGAATATAAAATTTTTGTCCGAGGAGACTTTTTTTCCTTCTTTTTGGTAGACCGAGTTTGAAAAGATATGGATTCCTTTCAAATCCTATTTCACAGATTTCACCCTCTACATCTCAAAGGAAAAAAAAAAAAAAAATTCTATTGGAAAATAAAGAATTTTACGGAAGAGGATGGGGAAAAAAGGCAGAATTCCGACTTTTTTCTCAGAATTCTGACTTTTTTCTCAGAATTCTGACAATAAAAAAGTCTGAATTCTGAGATTAAAGTCAGAATTCTGAGAAATTTTTTCCCCATACTAAACTGAAATAAAATAAAAAGAAATCAGTTAACTGTTTTTTTTTTTTTCAGTGGTCCTAATTCTCTTCCGTAGAATTCCCTGCAAGGGATTAATAAAGTAATTCTGACCAACAGAAATGCTGTTGCTAACGGCCAAGCAGAGCAGACTCATCTCCCTCCAAAACAAAAAAAATATTTAAATCTTGAAAATTAAAACCAAAAAAAGGGAAAAATTATTTATCAAAAATTTTGTTTTAAAAAATCAAATCTGAAAAAAAAGAAATACAGTTGCTAATGTCCAACCAGAACAGAATACCCCCCCAAAAACAAACAAAAAATAAATAAATAAATAAAAATCTGAAAAAATATAAATATATATTACAAAATAGCAAACTAAAAATATAAGGTAGAACTTTGGTATATACATAAATTTCTCTTAAAATTTCTAAAAAGTTCTCCAAAATTCACATTTTTAAAACACATTTTCACATTAAATTCTTTGATTTTTTTTTTTTTTTCTCTGCTTTGAATAATACTGGAACAAATGTATCCCCATATTAATACAGGATTACTCACCTGTTTCCTATAAACTTGCCCAAATTTAGTAATTAAAAATTTAACATGAAACAGATGGAGGCAGCCGCTGGTTACCTGAGCTGTAGTAAAATAAAATGAAAATTAAATATCCCCATTAGAGCATCTGACCTTAAATCTGAACCGGCTCATTGGATCATACCAAGTGGCTTTTGACTTTGGATAGAAAAGTTTTCTTTCATTTTTATTTCTTCTTACCCTGCCTCTGCAAAAAAAATCTGAATCTAGATAAGTAATTTTTACTTAAAATAAGTGCATTTGTTCTTGAATTGAGGAGGTAAAAGAGACATTTTGCCAATTGAACAAGACAATTTACACTTAAAGTAAGAAAACACAATTGCATTGTCTTATTTCAAGTGCATATTATCTAATTATCTTATTTTAAGAGTAAAATTACACATCCCATTGGCAAACTATCTCATTTACCAGCTCAAATTAATGGTGAATACACTTAATTTAAGAAATTTTTACTTATTTCTAGATCATTTTTGCAGTGAAGGGAGCGGAGGTTTTTATTCAGGGCTTGGAGCACATGCGTTAAAAAAGAAACCTGTGTAAATGTTTTATACACCTTCAAACATTCAAGCTAGAAATGTTTAAAATACGGTTGCAAAGCTGAGTTTCTATCTGCTTCTATTTGCAAGAATCAACCCAATGCAGTCCCAGAACATCCAAAACCATCAGAACAGACATAATAAAACATCTTCTGCTGCTTGAAGTGGATAAAGTGTAGAAACACGGTAAAGAGAAAGAGATTTGACCGCATTTCTTCTCCTTGTAGGACCAGTACCAGTTGCACGTGGGAGACTACGTTGGGAACGCTGGAGACGCTCTGGCTGATGCTCGCAGCCTGAACCTCAACAGTCCCTGCAAAGGAGGGATCAAATTCAGCACCTACGACCATCCCAACTACATCGACAGCGACAGCGGCCGCTGCATGCGGCACAGCAAGTCAGGCTGGTGGTTCTGCAAGTGAGGCTCATTTCATTCGGGGGCGGAGGGGTCAGTGTAAAACCTGGCAGGTACATCTTTCTCCTCCTCCTCTTCCTCACGGCAGGTGTGACTCAGGGAACCTGAAGGGGCAAGGCTTCAAAGGGCCTTTCGAGGCGATGAGCGACGACGGCATGGAGTGGTACGTTTGGCACGGCTGGAGCTACGCCATCAAGTCGGTGGTGATGATGGTGCGGGCCGCCGACCTGGAGAACCCGCCAGCTGTTATCGAGCGTTGGCCTGATCAGTTTCGCCCAAACACGGTGGAGGGCGGCCCGTAGGGCGGAGGACGGGCTTCTTCCTGTTTGTAATAAAAACCAGCCTGCTTCACAGCATCCTGTCGTACGGGTTTTATTCTGAGGCAGAAACAAAGCAGAACGCCGCACAACATGGCGTTCAGGTCGAAAGACAGCAGGAAGACGCCGAGACAACAAAACATGGAGGGAAACGATTGACGATGAAGAAGAAGTTTTTAAAAAATGGATATTAGAGGAATATAGAAATAGAACTTTGGAAAACTTCTCAATCAAAACAAAGGTTTTGAGAGTGATTTATATGTAAGCAAAGGTTTAACCAATATTGTTAAAGTATTTTGAGAATATTTGTTTTTATTTTCCATTTTTTCCCCCCCAAAATATAAAAAAATTACATTTGTTTGGGGAGATGCAGTTTTACAAATTGCATTTGTTCAAATCCCATTTTTATAGATTTCACCTCTTACAGTTTTGGGTTGTCAAAACGCAACATCTGGGAAAAAAAAAAAAACATTTTGAAAATAGTATCTGAAAAAAAAAAAACCTCAAAAATAAAATCTGAAAATAGCAAACTGAACTTTTACACATAGATTCTGTCAAAACCTTATTTTGAATGAGATTATTATTATTTTTTTAAACATGTTCTTTGCTTGCAGTAATACTGGAACAGATTTCTCTCCATAGAAAGGGACAAAAACAGATAAATAATTTTTCCAGTTCATTTGGGCACTGGGTGGTGCAGGTGGCGGTGGGGGGGTCAAACATTTCATGTTAAATAAGCTGCATATTTGGCTCTGACAGGGAGAGGTACCATCTGAGGATTTTTACATTCCACAAAGCGTTTAAAGGTGGAGGAGCTTCCAGAGGGACAGCGGGTTCCACTCAGTCTGTGTTCACATCAGCTTCCTCCTCTGCAGGTCCGACTGATTGAGCTTCGCTCTTTGGGAGAACAAATGAGATCCTTGAAAAAATAATAATAATAATCCAGGGGAACCCCCTCCCCCCCTTCTCACGTTCCCTTATCTTCCCCCCTTCTCCCGACAGAGGGAGGGGGGGCAAGAAGAGCAGGGAGCTCCTGAAGGATAGTCAGTGGCGATATGTACAGACCCTGAGGAGCGCCTGACGCGTGTCGCAGAGTTTCAGACGTTTGATTGAAACGGACAGAGCGAGGTCGGTCCCACGCTCAGACCGAGCTGCGCTCGCCTCTAAGTTGTCCTTCCAGAACGTTCATAGTGATGTAAAGCACCTTGGGTGGGGTGGGGGCAGTGGGGCTATCTGGGAGATAACGTTGCAGCTGTGGGGAAGGAGGCGGAGTTTCGGGGCGAGCTGTAGGGGGAGGTGGGCGAGAGGCGGCGGGGGCTTCCCAGCAGGTCGCTGTTGTGCAGCTTCCACAGCAGCTCCTCGTTCTCCATGGACAGACGCTTGTTGACCTTGGATTCCTTCTGCAGGGTCTGCTGGAGGATGGCCTGCTCCGTGGACAGCTGCCTGCAGGGGGAGACAGAGAGCAGTCAGAGCAGAACCGGGTCAAACTGCTTTAACAATCTCTACACGTTTGGCTTTAAAATTTTATGGATAAACAATGAATAAACCTCTAAAGTTTAAGCCAAATCCTCAAAATGTTCTTATATTTAAGTGAACCATTTTCCTTTCCATTTGCCTTCAGATGGGTGTCAGTGAGCGGGTGTTTGACCCAGAGGACCAGAACATTTCCGCATTATTAACTCTTCAATGGTCTCTATGCACAGCTCCACTACTTTCTAAACAAAATGCAGCTCTTTAGTTTCCTGTCTTTCATTACTGGATGAACTGATTGATCCAGGTGTGTCTGGCCATGGTTACTGACGTCAGACACACCTGGATTAAATTCAGGAAGTAGTGGAGTCTGTTCTCCTCATCCTTTCAGGTGAAACATGTCTACTGATGATATTCCAGCTCATTGAAGTGGGAATAAAGCAGTTTCCTTCCTGCACTCGGCCCGTCTGCTCATGTTGTGTCTCTCCTGAAACATCTTGTTCTCTGAGATAAATGAACGGCAGCGTGAGACAAAAACATCATGCTGCTGCTGCTGCTCTTACTTTGACAGAGCCGCATGTTTGTCCATCCTGGCCTTGTAGTCCTCGTTCTCCTGCTGCACCTTCTTCAGAACCTCCTCCAGCCTCACATTCGTCTCCACCTGAAACGCAAACGGGTCACAGTTATGAGCCGTCAGAGCAGAGGTCCGCTGGCGGTCTCTAAAGTCCGGACGCTCACCAGTTTGTCCATCTCCATCAGCTTCTTCTCCTTCTGGTGCAGCTGGTTGGTCTTGATCTCCAGCACCACCTTGAGGCTCTCCAGCTCCTGCTCCAGGTACAGGGTGTGTGAATCCTTCTGCAGGGAACAGAAACACAGAAAAGGGAGGCTGTTTTACTGGATAAGTCCAGCAGGGGGCAGTCATCGTTCAGCAGAAGGACATCTACAGGTGCTGGTCATAAAATTAGAATATCATGAAAAAGTAGATTGATTTCAGTAATTCCATTTAAAAAGTGAAACTTGTATATTATATTCATACATTACATACAAACTCATATATTTCAGATGTTTATTTTGTTTAATTTTGATGATTACAAATGACAACAAATGAAAATCTCAAATTCATCATATCAGAAAATTAGAATATTGTGAAAAGGTTCAAAATTGATGGCCCCTGGTGCCACACTCTAATCAGCTAATTAACTCAAACCACCTGCAAAAGCCTTTAAATGGTCTTTCAGTCTAGTTCTATAGGCTACACAATCATGGGGAAGACTGCTGACTTGACAGTTGTCCAAAAGACGACCATCGACACCTTGCACAAGGAGGGCAAGACACAAAAGGTCATCGCTAAAGAGGCTGGCTGTTCACAGAGCTCAGTGTCCAAGCACATTAATAGAGAGGCGAAGGGAAGGAAAAGATGTGGTCGAAAAAAGTGTACAAGCAAGAGAGATAACCGCACCCTGGAGAGGATTGTGAAACAAAACCCATTCAAAAATGTGGGGGAGATTCACAAAGAGTGGACTGCAGCTGGAGTGAGTGCTTCAAGAACCACCACACACAGACGTATGAAAGACATGGGTTTCTGCTGTCGCATTCCTTGTGTCAAGCCACTCTTGAACCACAGACAGCGTCAGAAGCGTCTAAAGAGAAACAGGACTGGACTGCTGGTGAGTGGTCCAAAGTCATGTTCTCTGATGAAAGTAAATTTTGCATTTCCTTTGGAAATCAAGGTCCCAGAGTCTGGAGGAAAAGAAGAGAGGCACTTCATCCACGTTGCTTGAAGTCCAGTGTAAAGTTTCCACAGTCAGTGATGGTTTGGGGTGCCATGTCATCTGCTGGTGTTGGTCCATTGTGTTTTCTGAGGTCCAGGGTCAACGCAGCCACATACCAGGAAGTTTTAGAGCACTTCATGCTTCCTGCAGCTGACCAACTTTTTGGAGATGCACATTTCATTTTCCAACAGGACTTGGCACCTGCACACAGTGCCAAAGCTACCAGTACCTGGTTGAAGGACCATGGTATCCCTGTTCTTAATTGGCCAGCAAACTCTCCTGACCTTAACCCCATAGAAAATCTATGGGGTATTGTGAAGAAGAAGATGCAATACACCAGACCCGACAATTCAGAAGAGCTAAAAGCCACTATTAGAGCAACCTGGGCTATCATAACACCTGAGCAGTGCCACAGACTGATCGACTCCATGCCACGCCGCATTGCTGCAGTAATACAGGCCAAAGGAGGCCCAACTAAATACTGAGTGCTGTACATGCTCATACTTTTCATGTTCATACTTTTCAGTTGGCCAACATTTCTATAAATCCTTTGTTTTTATTGGTCTTCAGTAATATTCTAATTTTCTGATATGATGAATTTGAGATTTTCATTTGTTGTCATTTGTAATCATCAAAATTAAACAAAATAAACATCTGAAATATATGAGTTTGTATGTAATGTATGAATATAATATACAAGTTTCACTTTTTAAATGGAATTACTGAAATCAATCTACTTTTTCATGATATTCTAATTTTATGACCAGCACCTGTATGACCCAAACAGGAAGGATTTATTTTCCCCTTTTGGGCTTACACACATTTCCAGACAAGAATTTTTCTAGTTTTCAGTCAGATTTGGATCTTTTGTATTCCCCTAATTTATTAAAAACAGGAATAAATGAAACCATGAAAAGGTTTATTTTTAATTTTAAAAAATCAGCTAAGATTTTACCATTAAAGCATTAAAACCTTTGAGGAAGGAACAGAGATTCCTCACCTAAAAGTTTAAGATGTATGGAGTGAATCTTCTTACATTATTGTTGTAAATTAAGAACATGATTTGTAAATGAAAATGTGGAAAAAAACCTAAAACAATTCAAATCCCCCCCAAAATAAAAACAGTCACTTTGTTGTTTTCTCTTTTTTAAAATTTGGCTTCAATTCTTTTTATAATTTTTCTTTTTAAGTTTAAGGAATTCTTTTCAAATCCCATATAACAGATATTTTTTTCACTACAATGAAGTGAGGAGCGATAACGCATTTCTATTGGTCTGCTAGACGTTAGCAACGACATTTTTATTTGGTTTAAAGTGAGAGAATACGATCTGTGAAAGGCAATATGAAAAGAATCCAATGAATAAAACTGATATACTTTAATGAAAAAATATTTGAAAATATAAGGATTGAGATAAAACAAATAGTAAAATGTCAAGGATTATTATCATTATTATTTTCATTAAAATATTTCTCAAAGTTTCACTTCTAGAACTGTTTTAATTTTTAAATATCCTTTAACAAACCTGTTCTTTGCTTGTAACAATAATGGAATAAAATTCCCTCCATAAAATAAACCTGAAACCTTCTTCAGCTAAGCTATTTGGACCCTTCCCTGTATTCCCTCTATGCAGCTGTGTTTACCACGTTTTTGTCGCTCAGTATCCTCTGCCTCCTCTCTTCTTCTGCTCGCAGTTTCTCACTCAGATCCTCGTTTTCGGCCGACAGCGCAGAGACCTTCTCCTGCAGGAGGAGAAATAAAAGATGAAAGTTAATAGAAGTAGCAGAAAGGATGAGACGCTGTTTCTGATCCGTCTCTTAAGGGACACAGTTCAACATCTGCAGTAACCTTAACTCTGGTTTATCAAATAATAAACATGTCTCTAGTCATGGAGTGTTTTTTTTTTTTTTACTACAAAAAAATGGTCAAAAGTCAAACTGAAGAGCAGAGAGGTTAAAGGTCAACGGTTAAACCCTGTTTGTACTAAAAAACTGGATTCTGAACAGATCTTTTTCTCACTGTGGGATGAAGGTCAACCTGATAATGCTGAACCCTGATGGTTATCAGGAAAAAAACTTTCTGATCCGCTTCCTAAGGTGATGAGGATGAATCGACAGGACGTCAGATAAAGCACAGAGAAAATGTTATTTAGATGTAAGTGGAGCTTGTTCAGGCTTGGAGAAAGAGCAGGAATTTCAGCAGATAACAGGAAGGTCCAGTAAACCTTTTACGTTTAATCCAGATTAGGATCCAGACGTTTTTGGAGTCAACTGGATTAGGAAATGCAGTAGATGTAGGAGTTCTCAGACTTTACATTCACTACAGATTCACAGGGGCTAATGTTAAAAGGCTTTGCCAAATATGCTAACCGCTAAGACACAGAGGAGGGATGAAAATTTCACTAAAAACTTGTTTTACACCAACTTGTGAAATTACCTCTGCTTCCATTTTGACTTTTATCCATAATACGGACCGGGCCACAAAAATTCTGATTGCTCTACATCTCTGCTACTGAGCGCAGTCTTAAGATGAGATCTGTAAATTGGTGAATGTGTTTCTTTGCTTGAAGCCCCGAGGAAAGCATTGCTACTGCAAACAGACATGATTACATAGCATTGTTTTTTATTAATGCCGATCAGAAACAGACTCCTATTGAACAGTCAGCCCCTGTCCACAGGGTCCAATCCCGATGCAGTGACTCCGACAACATTCTAACCAGCTGCCACAGCGGGTAAGTTTGAAGCTACCCCATATAATCATTTTCTTCTTTCATTTACTAAATATAACTGCCATTGTTCAATTATCTCAGGGATTACATTTCCTTAACATTTTAATACGAATTTTTTTTTTTTAAGTAAACAAGACAGTCAAAAACAGGCTTAAACTGGAAGGCAACCAGACCTTTGCTCAGTTTTTTGAAGACGCTTCAACACCTATCCAGGAGTCTTTGTCAATTATTTTGGCTTGCACCAGAGCAAATTCTAATTGAAGCACTGATGTATATGGAGGTCCATCCGCCTGCTTACATTCCAAATTAGATGCAAATCAAATAGAATAGCCACCCTTGGACCAATCACAGAGCACATGCACAACAAAAGGTGCCAACAATCCAAAACTCCACTGTTTGTGGGGCCATGACCCCGATGGCTGAGAGTTTACAAAGGCATAAAGAAGAAGACAGTGAATGAAGACTAACAATTCAACCTCCTTTTTCACATCAAATGTTTTCGTTTTTTTTTTTTTTTTCAAAAAATTCCTTCTTAGGCAGACATATTTGCTGGATTCAAACAGAACACATCCAACTGACTCAGTTATTTCACAGACCATCTTCATGTCTCCTAATCTCAGCTAGATCTTTGGCCAACCCTCTGATCTTTCACACAAACCAAAGAGAATTTGATAAAGTAGCCATAACTGGCATGTTTCAGCATGTGACCGGCTGCAGCTCCACCATCCCTTAACACTCATGCACTGACAAACAACCACAATGGCAGATTTGGATGGTTCCTTTCAGGATCTATGCTTTAAAGCTATTAAATATATTAAAGATTTTGCTCTCTAGTTGTTCCTTCTTTGTACTTTTTTCCCTTACTTTTTACTTCTTCTTATTAGCGGTTGGCAAAACATGTTAAAGGGATGCAAAATTAGTTGTAAGAAGAGGTTTTATTTAGGAAATGTTTATTTTTATCTCCGGCTTTAAGCTGTTTGGTTTTAGCATTTAAAACAATATTGTCACAGAAATGTTGCTATGCTGTTTGCTAGGTGCTGTAGCGCTAGCTCCATCCAGCCAAAACAGCAACGAGTAACGTTTGAAATGGAAAATATAGAAATAAAAAGAGGTGATGAAGATGAGGAGGACCATTGTAGGAAGAGGGGAGAGTTGGCTGAAGAAGCTGCTGCTAGGAGATGCTGACCAGATGGAGAGCAACAGATAGGGTTGCCAACCGTCCCTTGAAAAACTGAATTGTTCCGTATTTAGAAATAGGTATGGAGGATAAAAAGTGCCAAAATTAAATAAATAAATAACTACAGCATTAAATAAATAAGTAATTAAATGTGGAATTAAATAAATAAATGTGTCATTAATTAATTAAAACCACGTCACTAAAGTAAAGTGCCACAATAAATAAATACAGCAATATAAAATTAATTAAATGTGTAATTCATTAAATAAATAAGGAATTAAATATATAAATGTGTCATTAATTTAATAAAATACATCTTAATTTCCTTAAAAAAACATACCTAATTATTTCAGTGTGCATTTAATTATTTCATGGTCCTGTGTCGCAGTGCATCCAAACCATTAAAAGAATCTGTCAAACTCACCAATCAAAGTTAGGGGGCGGTTATCTAACACCTGATTGGTCACCCTGCACATTAAGGCGAAGCAAATCGATTACAGAGACTGTGATCCACAGGTTGTGGACATACTCTGATACAGTAGGTGGCAACTCGATTCGCGTTAACCCCGCCCCTTAACTTTGATGGGTGAGTTTGACAGATTCTTTTAATGGTTTGGATGCACTGCGACACAGGACCATGAAATAATTAAATGCACACTGAAATAATTATATATGTTTTTTTATAAAATGAAGACGTATTTTATTAAATTAATGACACATTTATATATTTAATTCCTTATTTATTTAATGAATTATACATTTAATTGTTTATTGCTGTATTTATTTATTTAATTGTGGAACTTTATATTAGTGACGTGGTTTTAATTAATGAATGACATTTATTTAATTTCACATTTAATTATTTATTCAATGCTGTATTTATTTAATTTTGGCACTTTTTATCCTCCATAAATAGAAGTACCTGTCCCGTATTTAGTGGAAAAGGAACGCACCTTGTCCCGTATTACTGTGAGAGTAAAAAAATTGTAAGTAAAAAGCTAATGGAAAATGAAGAACAAGGGCACGTTAGATACAAAACTTATGGTAAACTTGTTCCCGGGCCTGTTCCTGCATTGTGACCGATGAGCGGACAACATATGTGCAACGATCGTGAGTACCTTCATCCCATTGGTCGAGCCAAGTGTTGCTCACGGAGAAGGTAGTGGGAGACAACCGAACAGTATGGGGGACCAACGAAGTGATTTAAATGCTGACGCTGCTTTACTCAGCTTTACTCTGCAGTCAAAGACAAACAACTCCTCACTGCTGCAAGAGCTCAGAGGAAATACAAGAGGAAAAAGTCGGCTAGCACAACATAATGTGGCATTGAGCTAATGATTTTTTTTTTCTGTTTTACAACTGTAGCCTACGGTCATTGCATTTAAGGCACAAATATGTTTACAAGTTTGCACAAGTTTGCTTTTGCACTATTTCTTTATTGTTTTATATTCATTTCTACAGTTTGAAGTTAAGCAGGACAGGCTTATGTTTAAGATACTTTTTTTATTTAGCAAATTTTGTTATTTTGTATTAAAGTGAATTGCTGGATAATAATTTGTTTTTCATGTGTTCATGTCACAAATATGCATCTAATTCAGAGTAGATAGTAAAAAAAATAATTTTTCACACAAAGGGGGGCTAGAAAAAAATAAATAAATAAATAAATGACCACGCCAGGAGGCGTAAAGGCAGTCAGGTCAGCTAACATGCACATGAGGTGTCTCTTTTTTCTTTTTTCCCCCTCAGAGAGTTGGCAACGCTAGTCACCAGTCTTATTCAGACCCAAGTAACATTCGATTGAGATTAAAATGTCTCCAGCGACTTTACTGCGTGAAAAAATTTGTAAACGGAATCTGGTGCTGCTGATGTATTGGATTTAGGGAGCGCCATAAATACAACTTTTACTAGCTTTTTTTCTTACTATTGGTTTATATTTGGTGAAAAATGTCAGAGCAGACATGTGGTGGTTTACAGCTGGTTAGCCTCAGTGCTTCTGATGCAGGTTGGCTACAAATAGCTTCAGATTCTAACTGAGGCCGTTAGCGGTTAGCTTCAGGATGAAACCTTTCCTCATATATTAGGATCAGTTACGACGACTGAGAGATGATTTAAGGTCATTTTAAACCTAAACTATCTCCTGATATAAATTTGATTTTACATTAGCTTCTGCTTTTGGTATTATACGGAAGAGGATTAGGGCCACTGAAAAAAAAAAAAAAAGTTTACTGATTTTAAAATTTTATTTCAATTTAGTATTGGAAAAAAGTCAGAATTCTGACTTTTTTCTCAGAATTCTGACTTTAATCTCAGAATTCTGACTTTAATCTCAGAATTCTGACTTTTTTCTCAGAATTCTGACTTTTTTCTCAGAATTCTGACTTTAATCTCAGAATTCTGACTTTTTTCTCAGAATTCTGACTCTAATCTCAGAATTCTGACTTTTTTCCTCAGAATTCTGACTTTAATCTCAGAATTCTGACTTTAATCTCAGAATTCTGACTTTTTTCTCAGAATTCTGACTTTAATCTCAGAATTCTGACTTTTTTCTCAGAATTCTGACTCTAATCTCAGAATTCTGACTTTTTTCCTCAGAATTCTGACTTTTTTCCTCAGAATTCTGACTTTAATCTCAGAATTCTGACTTTAATCTCAGAATTCTGACTTTTTTCTCAGAATTCTGACTTTAATCTCAGAATTCTGACTTTTTTCTCAGAATTCTGACTCTAATCTCAGAATTCTGACTTTTTTCCTCAGAATTCTGACTTTTTTCCTCAGAATTCTGACTTTAATCTCAGAATTCTGACTTTTTTCCCCATACTAAACTGAAATAAAATTTAAAAATCAGTTAACTTTTTTTTTTTTTTTCCACTGGCCCTAATCCTCTTCCGTAGTATTAGCTCTAGCCCCAGAGTTTTTTTTTTTTTTTATGTAGCCAGAAAACAAAAAGCAAGGCTAGTCTGTGTCTTCCAACTTTGATAACCTTTTTACCTCATATGCCAGTGTGGGAATGTTAGCACGCCAGCCCCTGGCCTGGCATACGCATTGCAATGCTTATTACAGCTTTGTCAGCTTCATTAGTTTCATCTTTACACTATTTCTCTTTAACCTCTTTCTGAGGGGATACCCTGTTAGACCGTGTTGTAGCTGCCTGGGGTTCATTTTAACCAACTGTTTTTGTTGTTGTTTTTTTAAACCCTTATTAATCTTTTTACAGGGTTTCCACGGGTCATTAAAAATCATTAAATTATTATTTTTTTTCCAATCAAGGCCTTAATTGGCATTAAAATTCATTAAATGTGATTATCGCGGTATTTAAAATGTAAAAAAAAAAAAAAACATTTGTAAAAACAATTTCATCAGACATTTAAAATATCAGATCTAACTTGTTCCGCGTCTTTTCGTAGAACTGGTTCTGGTTGATCGTAAAGCTGTGTGTTAGGAAAAGGAAGCTTGAGGCGGAGAAAAAAACTAGAGAAGGGGGAAAATGCAAAATTCGACAAAAGTGGCTGGAAAACGAGGAATTCGGGACATAGCTGCAGCCTGTCGAAGGATGTTTCTGTGTTTTATATACATGTATTATATGAGAGTCATGTTTACTTGTTGATGGCATTAAAATTATTTTTAAGAGCATTAAATTAGAGTTACTCATTCCTGTATAAACCCTGTTTTAAGTCTTTGAGGAAACGGCACATGAAACACTTACAGTGAGAGAAGTTTGGGTTTCCTTCAGCGTTTTCTGCAGATCCTCCAGTTCAGTCTGCTGGATCCTCTTCATTTCTGAAACAAACAAACAAACAAACACTGTTTAGTTTCTGGCACTAAAAACTTTCAGGTGGATAAAGTTTGATTCGGTGACCTGCTGAGGACTCAGCTCACACACACATACCCTGTATGGAGGTCTCATACTCCTGTTTGATCGCCTCCATCTTCTGGCTGTGGCTCTCTTCTTGCCTCTTCCTTTCTGCTTCCTGTTGGCTCCTCAGCTCCTCCACCTGGACAACAAAAAACACGATACGGTTTATGGAGTGAAACCTGTTCCATTATTGTTTCAAGCAAAGAACACATTTTGTAAATTGAAATATGAAGGAATGCAATCCTAAAATGAAACTGAAATAAGTTCTAATGAAAAAAAAATTTTTATTTACATTTTCTGATTTCCTTTTTCACATTTTAATAGGTTGTATAGATTGTATCTTTTATTTTTTTCGATTTTTTAGATGGAGTTTAATTTAATAATTTTCATCTTCATATAGAGGGTATTTAAAAGGTTTTTTTAGTGTTACTGATAATTAGAAAACTTTGAATCAATTTGACTGTATGATATGGTGAACTGTAAAGTTCCTTTGAGATGATGTTTGTCTTGAATTGTCACTTTAAAAATAAACTGAATTTAATTACTTTCTCAGTTTTTGTTCTTGACAATTTAAAAAAATCAGAGAGAAAAAAGGAAAGCTACTCCCAATACCCTTTGGAATTAAATGTTTTTCCAAGTTTTATTACTTTTTTTTTTTCAAAATTTCTTTTGAATTTTTTTTATTTATTTATTTTTTTGTTTGCTTGCAACAATAACGGAACAAAATTCCCTCCATGCATGGTTAGATTCCCTCAGGCTCAGTCAGTGAAAGGTTTTTTTTTTTTTTCTATCCAGCTGCAGGTTAATCCATCACATCCCAGGCCAGGTTGTGTTGTTTCTGCTGTAAATTTAACTGTAATCATCTGTTGAGGAGACCAGATTTATGGGATGGCTCTCTGCCTAGGACGGTTTTATAGCACAGACGTGAGTCTGCTTGCTCTGCCCTCGCCGTGTGCGTTCGCTCACCTGCTGCTCCATCAACAGGCGGCATTTATCGGCCTCCTGCTGGTACAGCTGGTGAACTTTATCCCACTCTGCTTGGTAGAAGCATTTGAGCCTGAAACACACAGGGAAACATCAGGGTTAGGATACTTCTGGTACATCTTAGCTCCATTCATCCATTTCTGCAGCTTTTGCACTTTGTAATGTTTTATTTCCTTTTTTTTTATTCTAGTTCCTATTAGGGGGAAGTCAGTACATCAGCTGCACTCTACTACCCTGGATTTTCTAGGAGGAGATTCAATTCAATGCAGTTTATTTTTAATTCCAATTCACAACATGTCATCACAAGGCTCTTCAAACTTCAATCAGATCATCCAGTCAGATTAAAGGCTCAAAGTTTTCTATCCAAGGAAAACCATCAGATTGCCTCCAGTCACTGACTTTGCACTAATGGCTCCTCCTGGATGAGCACTTAGACATTTGCTTGAAGCATGTAGCAACAATGGAGAGGAAAAACTTGCTTTTAACAGGAAGAAAACTCTAGGCTTGGTGTGAGCAGCCTTCTGCTGAGGCTGACTGGGGTTCAAATAGAGAGAAAGAGTCACACAAAAAAAAGCCAAAGCACTGATCTATTAATACTTTCTAGGTTAGAAAAGCTAACGGTAAACTAGATTCACACGTTGCTTTGTCTGGGAAAGAAACAGGACTAAACTCTGGTTAAAAAAAAGTCCCAACTCCATCTTCTACACTCCAAGGTGATGAGCTGATGTTTCTCTGCAGGATGGAGTCACAGCCGAACACCAACCGATTGATGTCGGAAATATATATATTTAACCCAGTCTTCCTTCAGCGGCATGAAGGATGGCCATCTAAGGGGTCATAGGTCAGCAGCTTCATGACTTTCTGCTCCATAGAGGAAGAAAGATGCTAATCTTTTACAATCTGCCATCAGTTCCAGGATTTTCTGAGATTTGTCTGAAGTATAGTTAGACCGATATGTCGGCCGATATGTGTATGCTTACGTCGAATCATTACTGAATTCAGCAGCCCTTCAACATCCATCTATGTTAATGTATTCTAATGTTAATGTTTTCTTTTATTTGTTAATAAATATTGCTATTTATTTTAAATTTACATAAATGTAGCATTTGGTGTCATTTTGTATTTTTTATGACATAATGGAGGAAGAAAAAGTAAAATTGGCCTAAAAATTGTTTCACACTGATTTTGAAATAATCTGCCTAGACCTCAGCCCGAAGAAAACAACAACTTATCAGTCAATCTGAACATGTTTGATCCTCAGAGACCCAGTTAATTATTCTGCTTTTAGACCATTTCTGCTTCACTATTGGCACCAAAGTGTCTTTTTATTTGGTAAAACGAAATAAAGGCAACACAAAGGATTAAATAAATTTAGGATTTTCCACCAGCGTCTCACCTGTTCTCCAGCTGAACCAGCTCCTCCTCATGCTGCTCCTCCAACCTTTTCAAGGCTGCCTCCAAGTTTGTCCGCACCTCCTCCTTCTCGGCCTGCAGACTCTGGCAGCATTGCGATGATGAAACTGGAGAGGAAAGAAGCGTTTGTCACGATGCTGTAAACTTTCTCAGAAATAAAATTTCCCCAGTTTTTTTTTTCTTATTTGCTGGGGATTAAAAAGAAAAGCTCACATTCCAGTTAAATTATTCCTGCAGTGAGCTCCTCATCCAACCCAGAAACATCTGTAAGTCAGCTCTGAGGTATGCAGCGTCCCTCTAAGAGGTGCAAGCACATGTAGGCCTCCTCTGTCTCCACCCAGCATCGTGCCCAGCTCTCACATATTTCAAACTGCTAGATATTTGGGGCGATTTTCGTGCACCTGAGGATCAGATCCACACGCCAGCAGGAATGTTAGCTCAACTTTTCCTCCAGATTAACTGTGTCGCAGAGGGCAACAGCTGGCTGCTGCAGAGGCAGTTGCTGTTTGCAGTGAATGGAGCCCTTTACAGCGCCTGTCGCTGCACTGATGGAGACATGAAGCAGCTGACAGCCGCTCCGACACGCATCCTTATTCAGGGTCGGACGGCAGGTGGAGGTTCTGATGGAGTGAAACTTTCCTGACGAGTCTCTCAACTGAAAGTGGGTTTTCACTGTTGCATGTAAACGGCTCTTCAGAGGAACCCAGAGGAGTCGTTTTCACAGAGGGAAGCAGAAAAAAGTTAGTCTGAGCTGTGAGACCATCAAAGAATCAAACAGGAGTTTGTTTCTGCTCAGCTGGACTTTCACACTGGTCAGCGACAGCTGAGTGTTTGTTCACTACAGGCCCCACACATTCCTTCTGACCAGGAAGGCGACGCTCAGAGGGGAAGCGAGAAGACCGAAGCCAGGGTCTCTGCTACTATATGGAGCTAATTTTATTCCATTATTGTTGCAAATATGTTTTTTGTAAGTAGAGATTTAAAAAAAAATACAATCCAAAAATTAAACTTTGAAAAAAAAGTTTTGACAGAAACTCTGTTTTAACAGATTTACTTATTATTTTTTTTAATCAACTATAGTTTTCCAATTTTTTCTTTTTTTCAAAATAGAATTTTTTTCATATTTCTTTTTTACAGGTTTAATATTTACATTAGTTTACAGATTAAGTTTTACATTTTTTTTATTCTCTTCACATCTGGGGCAGCTTTCTTCTGGAGTCGGGAGAAAGATTCATTTTTTTTGGTTTGGATGGAGGTTAGCGAGAACATTTTTATAAGTGTTGGTTTTGGGTTTGACGTACAGAGAGATGCCATTTGAAAAGAATGCAATTTGCAACTTAATGTAAAAAACGGAATAAAAAAATGATAAAAGAAACTCTTTAATAAAGTAAAGAAAAACAGAAAAAAAACAACTAAGCAATAAAGCAAACTTTGTTTCACTTCGGTAGTACATTTTTTTCTTCCAAATTTCAGTTAAAAATATATGTTAAACCCTTAGATCTTCAGAATTTCCTGTAATTTTTGGAATTATCCCAATCCCACGTTCCACAAACCGTCTAAAAGGAGCTTTTTTATGTTTTTTTTCTCCTCCACTCGCTTCTCAAGTTGATCCATCATCTGCACTGCAAAAAGTGTCCATCTGACCACGTCTTACAATCTTACATCTAGACAAAAAATGCATATTTTTGAGCTTGCTTTGAGATACTAATCAATAGTAATATAATTGCACTTGGATTATCTCCCCAATATCAGGAGCTCCTTGGTTAGCTGGACATCTTTTCACACCTGGACAGAGTGTGGTTCAAGAGAGACATGTTATGACAACGATCATCTTCTGCAGAGAAGGTGTTGGTTGTTGCTGGATTGGAGCTGGCTGAAAAAAGCAGTCGAATAAAAAAGGAAGTAAGAACCAGTGGAAGAAAAGGAACTTGGGTGAGGACTTCAGGGTCGCAGGTCCAAGATCAGAACACTGTGGAACCATCTTTGATTTCCATACGACATACAGACCAACACTCAAAGCAAAATGAGAACAGTGATGTATATAACAGGATCAACCAGGAGGTTTTGTTTCACCCCCCTTTACTCTTATAGCCCTAAATCAAGCCCAGTGAGGCCAGTTGGTTGGAACATTTAGCATCATTAAGACCAAGGCCAGGCAGGAACTTCTGGTTCGGTCGCCATGAGCTCTGACCAATCGGAATGTGGAGCCAGGATGGAGCACCTGCTGACATGGAGGTTCACCTGGACTACGCTTCACCCGGCAAACACCATCTCCTTTGTCAGACACGGTGGTGGCACCACCTTGCTGCGGGACAGGGATGTTAGGAGCTGAATCCTGGAGGAAACGCTCTGTGTGGGCGGAGGGAAGCTCTGCCTAATAAAATCCTTCAGAACTGAGTAAAATCTTTTTTGTTTTTGTAGAAACATCCGAGTCGGTGCTGCTGCTGTATTGACATAAAACACGGACCTGGTTGTAAAAGGCCGCAAAGCAGGTTCCAGTGAAGTCAGCTGACTGGGTCAAAAAAATGTTTCTGGCTCTGGAAGCATGTAAAAGGTTGCTGCTGTTAGAACAGCTCATCTGGTCCTGGTTTTGGAAAGCAGAAGAAGTTCTTGAACCCGGTTTGTTGATCGAGTTTAAGACGAAACATCGGTTGAGAAAGGTCCGCTTTTATTTGGACCGTTTGTCGTTTCTATGATTCAGAAGGGGGTCGACGATGAGATCTAAATTTATGCACTGGAGGAAAATAAGCTTCTTGTTCATTAGGAATTTTATTGACCAACATTCATTGTTGTTTGTTCTGTTAGTATGAAGGGAATGTAGCATCATTATTGTAGCAATGAAACAATTAAACCCCCCAAAAAACAAATTTAAACTTCAAGTTAAAAACTTTATTAAAAGTTGCTACTTTATATCTAATCATCAATTTAGCTATGCTGCAAAAACAAACAGCTTCTAAAAACTATCTTAGTGAAGGATTTATCTGCTTTATAAAACAAGTGAAATTATCTTGAGTTCTGAACTCAAATCCCACTGATCAGAACCTCCACCCGGGCTCTTTGGATCAGATCTTTTTGCTCTGATCCATCAGGGTTCTTTCTCAATGTGAAGTCTTGTTGCACTGATGAGTTTTCACTTATGTGTAAAAGTGTTTAAATCCTTCATTGACGCTGCTGACATTCGTGTCATCATGAACTCATAAAGCTGCAGACGACTGCTCTGTTTGCAGGTCACGGCCTGCGTGCAGCAGCTGCAATACGAGCCATTATCAGCCTGCTATAAACAGCCGTTGTCCTGCATGCAAATAGAGGGTTGGCCGGGGATTGTGCAGCAGTGTGCACACAAGTAGGAAAGGCTCTTACCCAGCTCCTCTCTGAGCTTGGACAGCTCCGACGACAGCTCCTTCTTCTGCTTTAAGGTTTCCTCTCTCTGCAGAGAGAACAACAAAAGAGATTCTGTAAGATTTGGATCACAGAATAAATATATAAAGCAGGAGAGCCTCTTTGAATGGTTGCATCTAACCTGCAGAAAAAAAGTGCTAAAACTTTATTAACCCTTTTTATTAGCTTAAAGGATGGGCTGAACACTAATGCTTTAGTGATAAATCATAATTATTCAGAATACTGTCGAAAAACCCGTTTAAAAAATCTTTTTATATTATATACCTGTTTATACAACTAATTTACCCGTCGTCTCAAAGCACAGAGACAATTCAATCAGACATCAATAATCAAGCAGACCATCCAGACAGATTGGTTCAAAGTTTCTTATCCAATTATTCCCTGTTGTTTACACCCAGTTATTGACTTTGCAGGTCAATGGACGCTACAAAAATTAAAATACAAGTAATTTTTTCTTAAAATAAGTAAGTTTTCCATTAGGACAAGAGGATTTTTGCTTAATAATTTATGTTTAATAGGACAAAAATAGTGCATAATAGTGCACTGAAGTTTTGTCCTACTAAGTGAATAATATCTAATGGGCAAAAATGCTAATTTCATTGGCAGACCATCTTATTTATCTGCTCAAAGGAAAAAAAAAAAAAAGGACAAATACACTTACGCTAAGCATTTGACCTATTTTTAGATCAGTTCTGCAGTGTAAAATTAAAAAATACTAAGGAGTATAAATTTTATACTTTTATACTATAAAACCTATCCTCTTCACTTAGATTAACTCTATAACTTTCCTTTATTGGCCCTAATTAATTTTAGTTCATAATAGAAATCTTACCTTAAGGGATTTTAATGTAGCCATCTTTGCTAAATTTACAATACAAATGTTACCTAATTTAGCTTATTTTAGCATGGTTAGCTTAGCCTGCATTATCTTATATCAATTAGGTATCAGCTAAGAGTAGCTTAGCCAAAATGTAGCTTATCTTGGCTCTATTATTTCATATTTATGTATTTTTTCAAATGTTAATAAGTCCTGAAGCTTTTCTTAGCTTATGTTAGCTTGTTTTAGCTGACATTATTGTTATATTTTAAAGCTTAGCTCAGGCTAACAACTTAAACCTGCATTGAGTCATCTAGCTTTAGCTTGAGCTAGCTTGCTTATTTTAGAACAAAATAGAATAAAATCCCTTTATTGTCCCACAATGAGGAAATTCTGGTGTTTACAGCAGCAAAAAGATAGAGAAAAAAATGGTCACACGAATATGACCCTTAGAAAAATGTATAAGAATAACAATAGTGAAGAGTTAAAATATAAACTATAAAATACTGTACTGTAAAGTGTTTTAACAATATAAATACTGTGCACCTGTAAAATAAATAACCATTATACAGCTATGGACATTTTTACAGTAATGGATATTTAAAAATAGCAGCAACATCAGAGATATGTAAAATGACAGCAGCGTGTTATTTAACTGACGAAGAAAGAAACTGTGCAGAATCTGCCATTTTTGCACTTTCTGATGTCATTTTTGCACACCGCAGAATGATTTTATTTTCTGATTATTTTTATTTCTCTAACTTTTAGCTTAGTCATCTTATATCAACTTTGTTCAAACATAAAACATTCAATAAAATGTAATCAAGATGAAAAAATGTGTTCCGTTTTTCAGTATCTGGGGATTTTAGTGAGCCAGCCAGCATCTCATAATAGCCCATTTATGGAAATAATAGCAGGACATTTAATCTAAGTGTAGTTTATTTTAATCAATTTTTTATATTTGATTCGTTTTTCTTAAAGAATCCAGAATAAATCTGTCAAATTAAAAAGTGAGCTGCTAGGTTGATCCAAACAGACTTGATGAAACATGTCTGGATGTTCTCTGAGGTCCTTACAGCTCAAAACAATTAGAGTCCGACAGGTTAATAAGTGTTTCCACAGCAGAGCTGGTGCCATGTCTGAATCTACAGTCTCTGTTGACACAACACGTCCATGCTGTGGACCCGGCCCATCAGGACTCTTTCTGCTGCAGGGGTTTCCTCCTACTGCAGTCAGAGACTCTTAAAAGTCATCTCAGCCACTTTTTTGTTTGGAGGAGGAAGGGATGCATTTTTCTTTTTGTTTCTTTCTCAGGGTGAATCATTTCTTTTTGACTTCCTAAACAAACACAGCTAAAAATGGGACATTAATGACTTTTAGTTACGCCATGGCACAGGAGGAAACCTTCTGTTGGCCTTTAACCATCCCGCCATCCGACTCCCTCACAACTCTTGAAACACTGGTAAACACTCGGAACAGAATAATACGATCCTGACATCTGCAAGAGGAAGCATCACAACAGCCGCAGTAGCGAAATGTATCCACAAGAAGAGCTGCTTTGTTTTTCCAAACTACAGTAAAGTTCTGGTTGTAGCTGGATGTTGGAGACCAAACAAAGATAAGATCACAGATAATGGTAGATAAAAGAGTAGGAATTCCTGACACATCAGGGTCCTTTATGATCCCGACCAAGAAACAGCCTCAAATGGAAACATGAGTTTAACAGCTGGAGATCTGAACAGATGCATCAGATACATTCCTTCCCAATCCTCTGGCTTTTCCATGAAAACAAAGAGCAGAACCAGACCAACCTTCCGCTTCTTCCTGCGCCGCTGCTGGGAGGTCTTAGTGGTCTGCAGCTGGGATTTACTCTCCGTGGAGCCCATGTTACAGAGACACACACCAAACAGCTGCTCTCATTCCTCTGTTCTCTGGAACTAAAGAGCGTCCCGTGCCTCTGAGCTGCTCCTCCCCCTCTGTACCTGTTCCTCCTCCTGCTGCTGCAGGGATCCACTACTGGACGTAGGAATGCCAGTTATTCCCGCTCCGCCTTCCTTTACTGTAACCTTCCCCCTTCCATCAGTTAAACCAGTGGATCCGCATTGAATTCAATCCTTTCTCGCCTTTCGTTCATTCTAATTGTTTGCAATAATTTCTGTCAAACCTGTAAGGCGACAATTAGAAGGATGAAAACTGGAAGACATGTTGGTGACAATCTAATGGTTAAAAAGCTCTCTGTCTCTGAGGTTTTGGTGATGGATTGATGAGAAACTCAGGTTAAAAACCATAAGGTCCGTCATCCACCTTCTCATCTTTTTTTCCAGCTTTCATTGTCCTTACACAACAACACGTACAGAGCAACAAATTTTACTCTGCATTTAACCCATCCCTTTGGGGAGCAGTGGGCTGCCACTTTGTGGTGCCCAGGGAGCAGTATGGGGTTAACCCTCAGTGAAATACTTAATAATCCAAATTTCAATCCAATAGTGTTATTGGAATCCAGGACAAGACCTTACTACCTTTGTAACATTAAAAAAATATGGACATTTTGATGCAAACAATGAATGTCAACATAATAACAAAAACACCAACTTGCCTAAATATATTAAGAAAAATAAGAAAAGTGCTTCTATAAGAATTTCATGAAAAACACTCAGAGAGAAAGAAATACTTTTTTTTATACAACATAACCTTAGAGGCATTAATGCTGATACTGGCTCTTACATAAAAAAAAAAAAAAAAACCTAAATATAATTGTTAACTAGGCTTATTAACTTTTTAACCTTTTAACTAGCTTTTTTAAATTTTGGCGTAACTTGTTACTTTTTTTTCCAACTTAATTTACAGTAAATAAAATATCATTCAAGGGCTCATCTAATTGGTCACTGCGAGTGATCAAAGATTTAACTTTCCCTATAAAGGGTTTAGGGTCTTGCTCTGGGAGCCAGAGTGGCAGTCTGTGGGAGTGGGGCTTGAACTCAGAACCTCAGGATTCTAAGCGCGATTCCTCTACCATTTCACCAACATCAATGGACCTCTGAGTAGAAGATTAGATTCAGGAGATTCTAGAGTTTTATAAGTGGTCGCATCATCAGCTACCTGAGATTTATTTGGATGTTCATCTGACCAAGGAGAAAAAAATGGAAGTCTTTCTTCTGCGACCTAAAACAGGAAAGTCAGGTTTGGTTGATCTTGGCGGTCAGGTCCAAGATGACGCAGGTTCAAGTTAAACCCAGACTTCCTGCTTCCCATTGATGCCCCCTTGTAATGTTCTAGATGGATATATGGCTCCTAAAGTGAGTTCTGAATCTGACCCAGGGTCTGCTCCCATCAGTAGGAGTCCTGCATCAATGTGGAGAATCAGCAGCTGATCTAAACTCCACCTCACCTCATGACCAATAAAGGTTGGAATCTAGATGGACCAGTTCAGCTTCTCCATCCCCAAAAAGCAGAGAAACCCCAAATCACTTTATCCATCTTCAAATTCCTTAGATCACACATTCCTCATCATAATATCAAACATCAGCTTCATTTCATTTCTCCTAATTTCTGGCCTCATGTTTTGTACTTGATCAGCTGATCAGGACAAAACTGCGGCTATTTAGGAGGACAGTGAGGCTCAGCTAAAAGAAGATCCTATTTTCATTTAATCGCTCTAACAATAAAACATTCTCCTGTAAAATCAAAAGCAGCATCTATCCTGTTAGACGTGGAGCAAACAGCCCTGTTGAAGACGTGCAGAACAGACCGACAACACAAGATAGGTTCTTTAGGAGAAATTATCTGATAGTTTTTGTTTTAAAACTTGCTCTGTTAAAGGCAGCATTTCTGTTCTATCTACAACATGTTGACACAGTGAGTGCTTAACAAAAACCTTTAAGCTTAAACCTACTGGGCAAGAAAGCGTCAATAAAAAAAAGGAGAGGTGTCTGAATTTGAAGAAGCAAGTCAGAAAACATGAATAAATGTAAGATGTATTTGTTCCTATTTTGCATTTCTGCTGTGGCTTAAGTGGTCCTTAAAGATTTAAGGTGTTTGCTGAAATGTTGTTAATTAAATGAATGGTCAACTGATTGTGAACATCCTTTAGGTGCTTTCCCGTAACAAAGGAGGATGAGGAGTGTAAGAGCTTCATCAGAGGTTGTTGATTTGTACTCATAAATTCATAATTTTAACTCATAAAATTGTAAAATGCACCTGTAAATTTGTAACATGTAATCGAAACATTGTCATTTCAATTTATAACTGTAATTTGAACTCATAGAATTGTAATACGAACTGTAAATTTGCAATTTAAACACGAAATTGTAATTTGAACTTGTAAATTTGTAATTTTAATTTGTACACTGTGATCTTCACTCAAATTTGATTTAAACTCATAAATTTGTGATTTTGATAAATCTAACTTTGTAATTTGCATTCTAAACTTTAAAACTCGTAATCTCATACATAAAACATCTAATGTCATATGTACATATTTATTAGAAATTACGGAACAAACACTAATCTTAAACCTATTCTCTTACATTTTTAAACTCAGACACCTCTGACTATGTGTCATTGACAGCTATCTTACCCATAAAATCTCTTTGAAAACATTAACCTCATGTTTAACACCAGCAGCGTAACAAAACAAGTCTTTGGGCTGAAACTGACTTCTAGGTTTAGATTTCCCTGAACTGAGGATTAATCTGCTTCAAGGCAGCAAACAAACAAGACGCCCCCCCAAGCATGAAGCAGATTAGATAAGACTATATGCTAAAGATAAAAACACACTGCTGCATTGCTGACGTCTGCATGGCTCCTCCTGCAGCCTCACTTTAAGCAGCTGGAACGTCAGAGCGGCTCCAGCTCCATCGGCTCCAGAAAAAAGCAGCAGGATTTTGAAGGTTATCCCAACAAACAGGAATTTTAATTAACTTTCAGTTATATAACAACGACCATTATAAACAACGCATGACGAGTCATAAAAGCTCAGATAATTATCTACTTTCACTGCTACACCTGGGGATATCGTCCGGACTGTTTATTATGTTCTGAGATCCTGATGACTCACTGACAGGTAGCATGTGCTAAAGTTCTGCTCTGAGAGCAAATATTTACTGAAGAGATTCTAAATGCAGGACCTGAGGACCGACATCCTGCTCCTCCCAGCCAATCATCAGCCTCCAGCAGGACACGAGCCGATCAGAGATGTTTTCCACACATCAGGTCAGCAACAGACTAATGATAGGGTTGAGGATCTGGATCTTAGAGGGCCCTGCAGGTGATGGGGAGGGGAACTGTCCATTTTTAAGACTCCTCCTGACCTTCTGCTACCAGGTAAACTGCCTCAGCCTGTTAGAATATATCATATTTATACATTTAGATTTAATTAATCCATTCAATGATTTTTACACTATTGTATTCATTTTTGACATTCAGGGTCCAGATTTGTTTAGGTTCAATGCAAAGCAATCAGCAGTCGGTCATTTGATCATTATTTCACTGAAAGGTCTATAAGCTTTTATTGGATTTAAGGGAGTTCTAATTATTTCTTAAAAAAACTAGAAATTAAATAGGTCAGTTTCTCTGAAATTTTGTAAATTTTGGCTTAATTTAAGAGGATAAGTAAGACAATTTGCAAATCTAATAACATGATTTATATCTAAGATAAGAAAATACAATTCTAATATTTTATTTAAAGTAGGGATGCACGATATAATCGGCCCCCTATCGGTATCCTTATACACCTTATGCTTCTTTTCCGAAGCATTTTAATAACACGATTATCAAATTTAATGAATTTTAATGCCAATTAAGGCCTTAATTTAAAAAATAATAATTCAATTTAGGGATGCACGATATAATCGGCCCCCTATCGGTATCGGCCTGTATCGGCCTTAAAACTGAATATCGGACCTCAGCCACCCAACCGATATTTAACCCGATATTTGATCAGCTTCTGAGTTTCTAAAGTCTAAAAAAAAAAAAATACTACTACTTCTTCCTCAAAAACTTCTTTTTTACAGACTTAAAAACTTCTAAAGACGAGGGAAAAAATATTGATACATTAAAATATCACAATATCTTCATATGCTGATATATTGCCATTTAAAAACAACATATCAATCTCTTTTAATAATGAAATATTGCTATATGTCATCGTTATGGTTCCAAATTCCCCCGCAAATTCACCAAATTTTGCCATATTTTTATATGTTGATATATTGACGCGGTATCGATCTATTTTACTAACAAAATCTCACAAGAATTTGCAAAATATCACGAGAGTTTGTAACAGAAAGATGAAATTTCACGAGATTTTGAAAGTAAAATAGATCGATACTGCGTTTTTAAAAATCAAGTTGATATCAGCCTATGAAAATATATTGAAGTATATTATTTTTCAAAGTGTCAGAAATGGATAACAAAACTGCTATTTTCAATGACTACTTATTTTTGTCCAGCTTTAACATCGGTATCGGTATCGGTTATCGGCTTCATGAGTTTTAAAATATCGGCATATCGGATATGGGCCAAAATCCCAATATCGTGCATCCCTAATTTAAAGTGCATCGTATCTCATCATCTTAGTTTAAGGGGAAAACACTCCTTCCATTGGCAGTTCATCTCATTTATTTGCTCAAATTAAGGGGAAAATAAACCTATTTTAAATCTGGAACTTTATCCTTTTTATAAGCCTAAAGGATGAGATGAAGACTGATGCTTTATTTATAAATCATAGTTACTCCAATAAACAAAAAAAGGATAAGTAACTGTTTTATTTGACAAACCCTGATCTGGAGATTGAACTTGTTTTAAGATTTTTTTTTTATATTTTAAGATCACTTTTTGCAGCGTGTTTTTACAAACTGTTTATGTTCCTATCAAAAACAGAATTGGCAGCTAAAGTGGTTCTGATTACAGGAAAACTAGAGAACATTGCTGTGTTCTGTGACTCCTGCGGATCCATTTAAAAACTGGAGCCAACAAAATGCATTTAAAGTATTTTGAAAATGAAAAACATTTGAGATACTTGAGCAGTGAAGGCTTCTAACCCTGAAGTTTTGGGTCAGAGTCATTAAAACACATTTTCCCCTGGTTAGCAGGCAACTGGTTCTCCTGATGATCTGTTCTCTTTGGAATCTTTTTAATTGAATCAACCTAAGAACTGAGAGTAAAGTAGGTCTTTTGCAACAGAAGTGGACTGGAAAAGCAGTCAAAGTCCAAAGAAAAAGCTTTGATGAAAGCCTCTGTGATGGAATAAATGTTGGATCAGGAGGTATTTTACCCAGAACATCTCAGCTCAGTGTCACCTTCATCATCACTTCACATTTCAGCAGTTTGTTTTTCTGCTGCCCTGGAGCCACAAACCAGTCCGATCACAGACTGATGCTTTAATTACAGACTGCTGCCTCTTTGGCTCAGAAGTGCTGCAGGGCGGGTAGGAGACGGAGCAGAAAACTGATGGTTTCCACTCATTTATTCTCTTGTAGTCTGGTGAGAGCAACCTGTGCTTAACGAGCCCAAACACATTCATCTCTGTAGCCGCAAAGAGCAGTCAAACAGGAGGAAGGGGTTCCATGGTCTTTTACAAACATGTCTGATTGGAAGCGGCTGAATCCAATCACATCTAACTAGGAGAGCAACAGCTTGGCTGCTTCAAGCCGAAGCTAACATGCTAATCAGACGTTTGCTGGTATTATCAGCTGATGGTGGATTGTTTTTTAAAAGGCCTGGAAAACCAACGAAGAAGAGGAATAAACCATCTGTAGCGAAAATTCAAAAGTTTGTTCTGTTCTCAGCAGAGTTGGTGCCGTCAGCTGGAAAGGAGAACTATACCGACTTCTTCAATGCTTATGGGGTGAATTTTGTTCCATTATTACTTTTGCATGTTTTGTAGATGGCAACATGCCATATAGAATTTAATCTTGAAAAATCGTTTTAATTTAAAATGGTTATGAAGCACCTCATCTGTTTTCTTTTATTTACATTTGTTTAAAGATTTTATGTTTTTATCATTTCTTTTTATTTTATTAACATTTAACAGATTCTTTTTATTTCTGTATTTCAGATCACATTCTCTTTAAACCCAAATAAATCCCAGGTTTTGACGAGCAGATTGATACAATATCAATTTTTTTTTTTTTTACAAAATTTGAGAAAAAAAGTAAAATCTGAAAGATAAATTACAAAAAAAATATTTTGAAAACAAAAGCTGAGAAAAGGGCAAAATTACTATCAAAACTCTTTAATAATTTGGATGTTTTTAACGTTTCATTTTTTTTTTTTTACACCTTTTTTTTTTTTTTTTTTTGAAACAAACTTCACTCCCTACATCCAAATCAGTGCAGCTTAAAGCTGATCATCTCTCACTCCTCCGGTCAGAACTTCCTGTAATCTGAGGAACTGCTGAGAGAGAGAAGTTTACCGGACTTTCAGTGGATTTCTTTGGACTTTGGCAGCTTGTCTTCCCATTTTCAGCCCAGAACTTTTTTTCTGGCCTGTTTTCAGAGGAACTTTTCTGTAAGGAAATGAAGCCTGGTACCTCAGAGAACAGGTGCTGGATGACAGCAGCCAGAGCCTCCACTTTCCGGTTCCCCTGAACCAGCAGCCTCCTCAGCTGGACCAGGGCCTGGTTCTTCCTCTCCACCTGCTCCTTGTTCTGGTTCTGTTTAGCTGTGACAGGCGCTGCCGTTCCACCCACACCAGGTCGGGATGCATGCTGAGGCCGGCCTCCGTGTTTGGGACTGGAACGTGACCCGGTTCTGGCTTTGAGCCCTGGACCGGCAGGTCCAGCAGGTCCAGGTGTAGTGTTAGAACCATCGAGGGCTGGGACTGGGAGAGCTGGTGATGTTGGAGTGTTAGCATTTAGTACATCTGGTACCTGAAGAGAAGAACAGAAAACACAGGTTTCAGATCGGGTCAGCAGAATGGTTCCGTTCTGGAGCAGGTCCGTTCATGAAAAGCAGAGCTGCACACTGATAAGTGAGTTTTAAAAGACAGGAACTGGACGTACCGGTTCTGGTGGGTGCAGCTGTGGGTTCTGCTGGTTTCCTGTGGTGATCTGGGGGCTGGTGCTGCTGGGCTTCGTTGGCGCCTCCCGGGGCTTGTTTTTGTCCACTGAAAGAGAACGTGGATCCGTTAGAGCGGCAGGAGCGACGTTCAGCATGGCGTCCACAGGCCCAAACACCGTCTACTTCTGCGGGAACACGCCCTCAGAATGTTCTAGGCTCACACAGATGCATGATGGGAAACTGAGGTAATGCTGGACCGAGACCATCGGGCCCTGGATGGACATTAAGGGTCCATTAGCGGCGCAAAAACAATTAGAGCTAAAGAGATCCCAGCTCCCTCTGAATCTCTCCTCCTCCGTCCATTTATGGATCGACTGTCGGCTCCTCCGGGCCCCGATCGGTTCCTAAATCACCGCCTATCTGTGGTTTTATGGGTCAGCTACACACAGCATCAGATCGATCACAGAGTTCTGATCCGATCATGGAGGTTTATCAAAAAAAGGATGCAAACTTTAAATATTCTGATTTAGGAGGAGAACAAACAGCTGACTGGATCAGAACCCATCAAACCAGTAGGACTAACACTTAAAGATGATAGCACATTTTTACAGATAAATTTACTTTTTCTTTTCCTCTGTTTGGATCAGAGTTTATAAGTAGAAACAGAAGCAGGAAAATAAAGGCTACAGGGGGGAGTTCTAAGGTCAGAACCACAGCTGACCCAAAAGAACACAAAGGCCCACAACAGGACTGAGGAACATAAAAGGTTTCAGGTCTCAGGACTTAGTGATAAATTCATCAGTTCTCAGGAAAAAATATGAAGCACTTTGTTAAATTAGATTAAATCTAGAGCAGATATGTTAGTAAAGCAAAGCTAAAACCTTGACTTAGAAATATCTTCAATTTATTTTAGGTTTTTAGACTGATGACATCACAGCATCGATGGCCGTCCCATTTCCAGACTTTTCGCTCTTTTTTTCCCCTCAGTTCCAAAAAAACTGATATTACAAATTGAATCACCCAATATTAACCTTTAAGATGTTTTTAGGTGATAACCAGTGGCACGGGAAGGGGGGTGCTGCGGGGGCTGCAGCCTCCCTCGTCATAGCATCAGCCCCCCATGGTGGGGGGCTGTGGAGTAACATAATATTGTACTTAAAAACATGAAATTATTTATGTATTTATTTTTTAAAAGACTGTGTTTGACATGGGATTAAAATGATGGGCTGTGTATAAGATATTAACTAATGATTCATTATTTTAATATTTCATAAAAAACTAGGCTACTCCCCCGGAAGCTTCCGCCACCTCACATTCGTTTAGGCATGGCTAGCAATAGGCAGCAGAAACTTATTTCTGACTATTTCGAGGTGAGAAATGGTTTTAATTCGCCTATACGCTAGAATAAGGCTGCATATCACTAAATATTATGTCTGTATTAAGCTATTAAGTGATAAAATATGAAATTTGTTTTTTTTTTTTTGTGTGTGTTTTTTGTTTCAGATATGAAATCATTCCCCATATCCATAGTCGAATGGACCTTCAAGACGTTCAATGCTCAGTTTAGGCTATATTTAGGCCATGTTTCATTCAAGTATTCCTGTTCCTGTTGATTGCAAGCTGTTGTTTGTTTTGAATGATTAAAAGAGAAGAAATAAAGTTTAAAATGTTCATGCTTTGTTCCGATGCATTTTAAATGGCAGTTTTTGGCGACAAATGTAGGCCTACAATATTATGTTAAAAACGTCAGCCACAGCCCTCAACGTAATGACGTCACGTGTTTTCCAACCCAGCCATCAGCCCCCCTCGCTTGAAACAGCTTCCAGCGCGCCTGGTGATAACATAGAATTTTTAGACTAATTTGTCTACTTCTTTACTTAAGATTTCACTTAATTAAAAAAAGAAGCCCAATCATTCCCCTGAGACCTGATAATTGATCAACTAAAACCTGATATCCTTAAATGTACACTAGGAATGCACGATATTGGGATTTTGGCCGATATCCGATATGCCGATATTTTAAAACTCATGTAGCCGATATCGATACCGATGTTAAAGCTGGACAAAAATAAGCAGTTTTATTATCCATTTCTGACACTTTGAAAAATAATATACTCAAATATATTTTCATATGCTGATATCAAATTGATTTTTAAAAACGCGGTATCGATCTATTTTACTTTCAAAATCTCGTGAAATTTCATCCTTCTGTTACAAACTCTCGTGATATTTTGCAAATTCTTGTGAGATTTTGTTAGTAAAATAGATTGATACCGCGTCAATATATCAACATAAAAATATGGCAAAATTTCGTGAATTTTCGGGGGATTTCGTAGCATAACGATGACATATAGCAATATTTCATTAGTAAAAGAGATTGATATGGTGTTTTTAAATGGCAATATATCAGCATATGAAGATATTGTGATATTTTAATGTATCAATATTTTTTCCCTCGTCTTTAGAAGTTTTTAAGTCTGTAAAAAAGAAGTTCTTGAGGAAGAAGAAGAAGTAGTATTTTTTATTTTTTTTTAGACTTTAGAAACTCAGAAGCTGATCAAATATCGGGTTAAATATCGGTGGGGTGGCCGATGTCCGATATTCAGTTTTAAGGCCGATACCGATAGGGGGCCGATTATATCGTGCATCCCTAATGTACACCATATGGGTTTAGAGTGTAAACACATCATCAAATCAGAACCAGGTTCATTCTTTTGTGGACTGGGGGGTCTTTTAAAAGCTTTTTCTTTTATGAACCCGTTCACTGCAAAAAAAATGTAAATTAAGTATTTTTTTTCTGAGAATAAGTGAATTTTTTTCTTGAATTGAGCTGGAAAGTGAGACACTTTGCCAATGGAATAACACAATTTTCATTTAAAATAACACAAAACAACTGCAGTCTTTTATTTTATGTGCATAGCACCTAATTATCTTATCTTAATGATAAAATTCTCGTTTCATTGGCAGATCATATTATTTCCACACTCAAATTAAGCATAAATACACTTACTTTAAGAATTGTTTCATAAATTTTCAGAATATTTTAGCAGAGTTATCTTTGACTTTGAATTATGTTTTTGATGGTCTAAAACATTGCAGTGTAACAAAACAAGTCACAGTTAATGCATTAGTTGAAAGTTTTGTTCAGAAATGTCACTTTCATCCGGTTTTGTCTCCTCCCTCATCAGTATCTAGGTCACCATTATCCTAAATTAGTGACAAATAAACATCAAATTCTGATGATGATCTTTTAAGTAGACTTGGACTAATTATTGAAGATTTGCACGTTTTTATGACTAAAATAAAACCTGCTTGGTTTTTTAGTAAATTAGTCCAAGACAAACAACGCCCCCTACTGGTGGTCACCAGACAGAACAAAATGGCCGCTGTTTCTGCACCATTTGATCATTTTATGATCAACATAAAACAACCATTAGGTGACCAACTTAGTGCTTCCTTCTGGGGACGTTTTGAACAGCAACTCCACTGGGTCTGATCTGGGCGGCTTGACCATGAATTTAGAGGAAGAGGAGGGGAGTACGGCTCCACTAAAAACACAGAAACCTCTTCATCATTTCACTTATTTTGTTAAGAGATGCTTTGCCAAAATACAGTAGAACACATTCTTTGTTTACATCCATAAAGAGCCTAAAATCACAGCAAGAACTTCCTCTTCCTGTGACAATCCATCAGGACAGCGTCATCTGCTCATGTATGGAGTGAATTATGCTCCATTATAGTTGCGACCAAAGAAATGTGTTGTAAATTAAAATTTGAAATAAAACAAAATGATAAAAATAGCTCTGATTTGGGATAAAACCATTGTGAGAGTAACTTTGCCAATTTATCAGATTTACTTTTTTGAATTATTAAAAAAAAAAAAAAAAAATGGAAACAAGTTTGAAAAAAAAAAGTAAGAAAACAGAAATTACTTAAAAAAGATTTTTGGATGAAATTTTTTAAATTGATTTCTGTGTTGCATTTTTTGACTTTATTATTCACAAGACATGCTCGTTGCAACAATAACGGAACAAAATTAACTCCATACTTGTTTGTTCATTGATATAATTGAATCTTTAAGCTTCTGAAAATAATTCAGATGTTTTACGTCTCCTTTGAATTTAAACAGTAGAATAACTGAAGCTGGATGGAAATCTGTGTAAAGTTTGACTTTATGGAAGAAAAAAAAGTCTGAAAGATCAGGTCCAATAAAGAGACTCCGGATTATACAGTGATAAACAGACAGAAGTGACTGCTTGATGAGGATTGTTCCTCTCTGTGGTGAACATCATCTAAGCCCAAGATTCTTCTAGAAGTGTGTGATGTTTGTGGGTCTGTACCTGGAGCCTGCCAGGCTGAAACGCATAGCTGCTGAGCCCAGACTGAAGGAGAAACCAGACAGTTAGCATGCAAATCAAACAGAGACGGGAGCACCTCCTGCTGCGGGTGAAAGGTCTGCTGCTAACCCACGTGATCATAAACAGAATCGCCTGACTGTCCTGGTGGCTCAGAGTCCAGCATCTTTTAAAGGAGTCCCTGAAGGCTTCATTTCTCCAGCCAGGAGTCTTATTGATTCATGTCAGGTGTGTTTAACAGAAAACATGCAGTTAAGTGGCCTGTAAGACCTGAACGATTCAGCCTGGGCTGGAGACTGAGGAAACCTTCTGCATCAATTAGGATCTGGGTCTAAGGAGGCCATCAGCCATGTGTTTCTGCAGCAGTCCCCTTAACCCTCAGCAGGAACGTCCCCCGTTTGCTGAATGAAAACCAGGGAGGGGGTGAGGCTGAGGAGTTGATGAATAACATCAGGAGGACGAGGAGGAGGTTTAAAGCAAATTATACAACTTTAGGGTTAAAAGGTTGAAAAATTTGTTTTCTCTTCAGAGACGTCTTAAAGACCAGGAGAAAATATAAGAATATGAACCGATGAAGTAATCCATGAATCCATGAGCTCAATGCTGGACAAAACACTAAATATTCTCCCTCCTAGTCCAAAGCCTTAAACTCAGATTAACCCTTGACACAAACACCAAACAGGAGTCTGATCATTACAGCATCACAAAGCAGCACTGGTTGGTAATTAGATTACCGTCTGTTGTTGGTCCG